CAATTTGGATAACAGCCATTAAAACTTCATCACTGCACAGATTTCATGTGCCAATTAAAAATATAAGCCATCAAATACACAAGATGGACTTTAATGTATGTTATAGTAGGGTAATTGAAGTTTCATTCTCAAACTTTTTCAGAATTTTAACCTCTGTCCAACATGGCCAAAATTGAAGGTGAAAATGGGTATATTTTGTACGTTTTCAGTGTGCATTGAATTTAGAGACTGAATATTTGGAAAAGTATATATCCCATCGACTTAGAATCTTTTGTATATTGATATAAGACAAACTGACATTAAGTATGCCAGTTTTGCAGTTTATGTATACAATAGTGATTTTGCCAGAGGCTTTGGAAATCCTGAAAATAAAAGTGAATAGTTCATTTGTTCCACATTTTGCCACCTGGTGGCGCGAACAGTATGCATTGGATAATGAGTGTGATGCTAAATTCATAATTTTCACCAAAAGTTGTCTTAGATTACAAAGTTAGAGGGTCCTACTCCTATTAAAATTGTGAGTTTAAAGCATCTGAAAACCTGAAAAAAATTACTGAATTTATGATCTGTTTTAGTACCCTAATTTCAAATGGCCATATCATAGCGAGTTTCCAACCAAGAGAGGTAAAATTTTGGATTTCTTAGTTTAAGGCCATATACTATAAAATATATTTTTTATAATTTTTTTGGAGGGGGTCATGTTCCCACCATTGGTCCAGTTGACATGGAATGACACATTATTAAGTTATGTAATTGTACAATTTATAATATATTATTAATAGAATACCCCATACAAGAAATGCAAAACAGGTATGCTGAAGAAATCGTACCATGTAAGTGTATTTATAAAGGCATAAAAAATAAGGGAGGTAATTCAGACAGGGTTAGGTAACTACAGAAAATCTAAAATAAAATTTAAATTGGATCATTATCCAGTATGTAGTCGGTTATATACTTATAAGAAATGTCAAACTTGGTATGTTGAAGAAATGGAAGTTTTGAAATTTCTTTTAAAATGCGTAATTGTGTACCACCTTTGGCAGAGCATTTAAAATAAAGAGATTTTATTCGGGAGAGAAATAGTTCTTTATTGTTACATATTATCAAAAATCGTAATGCCTGTGAATAGAAAACACTGTAGCGTGGTATCTGGTATGTTACTATAGATTCAAAACCAAATTTTTCGCTAGACTGAAATTTACTGATTGATGATACCGACTTGAGTAATGATGTTCGAGGCCAGGCCCAAAATTCAATCACTAATTTCTCGGTTCAGAGTAGATCAATTTGACTGAAATTTTCAGCAAATTCCTTTTACATTATCTAGTTTTTATACGGCCACAGTGAAATGTGGTTGTATATTGTCTTCGGCCCCATTCTGTCCACCCGACCCGCATCCACAATTGCTTGTGCACCCTCTAGAGGCTAAAGTTAATATCCGATTGACTTTTAAAAGGTCATAAAACGAAAAAGCCTATTGATTTTTTTTCCGATTTCCAATAATTACTGCCAGAGTTATGGCCTTTGATCACTTCAAAAAATCTTGTGGACGCTCTAGAGACTACAGTTAATATCTGATTGACTTTAAATTCATACACAGTGTTTAAGGTGATGAGACGAAGAAGCCTATTGAATTTCAGCGATTTCCGATAATTACTGCCAGAGTTATGGCCCTTGATCACTTTGAAAAATCTTGTGACACTCTAGAGGCTAAAGATTGACTTCGGATTGATACACAGAGTTTAATTTCTTGAGACGAACAAGTATATCAATTTTCAGTGAATTTTGATAACTTGAACAACTAAATCCATGATATTAAATGTTTCGGCAAAATTTTATAAAAACTAAACAAATTCTAATGAATTTCTAATAATTACTTAATGAGTTGTTACTCTTAATCAGATTTTAGTTCATTACCGAAAAAAGTACAAATATGTGACAACTCTTGTTGACTGACCGACTGATTTAGCTGCTGTGGGCGTATGTTTCGTTGCCTGGCAACCTATCTTTGATAACTTGAACAGCTAAATCCATAATATTAAGTATTTTTTATACTCAACGTTGGCATGGGCCAAACAAATTCTAATGATTTTCTGATAATTACGTAATGAGTTGTTACTCTTAATCAGATTTTAGTGTATTATAAATGTTTCATTAACAACAAAAGTAAAAATTTGCGACAACTCATGTTGACTGCCCAGACGATTTAGCTGCTGTGGGCGTATGTTTCGTTACCTGTCAACCTATCTTTAACTATTGTAGTGAGAACTGCCAGCTCTTTATCTAATCTCCCATGATTGACTTTAAATTTACCACAGCGTTTCAAGATACTTTCCTATAAAAAGTTTTATCGGGAAAGGATAAAGATCCAATCTTACTAGAAAAATACTGGATTCCCTGACAAACACCCATGGAGCGCATGCATACAGGACAAAAATGTAAGGGTTTCCCTAACCGGCAACCCGACAATTAGTGATGTCTGCTCGAGTAACGTCAAAGGTAGCATGTGAAGATTGTCTAATCTCCCAGTGTTAGTGAGAGCTTCATGTATATGTTGATAAACTTGCTGGTACAACAGTTTCTGAGTTAAAAACCATGTCAGACTTGGACAGTGGATAATCCAAGAATTTATGGGGCTTAGATATATATAATAAATAGTCAGCGACAACATTGTCTTGTATATGCAATGAATTGACCTCCGGCTTCCCACCCGTTGCTAGGTACCAAGACTGCTAAGTCACATGAAACAAACATGACCTCTTTTGATCATTTTTTTTATAGCAGGGATATTCTCTGACAATTACAATGTTTTAAGAAGGATTTGAAGCAAATTAATTAGTTTGAATATGTTTTTAGTCCAAATATATCATCAAATCCCCCAGTTTGCATGCTGGAATGTATATTTAAGGTCATGATACGAAGAAGCCTATTGATTTTCAACGATTTCCAATACATACTGCCAGAGTTATTGCCCTTGATCACTTTGAAATATCTTGTGGATTCCCTTGAGGCTAAAGTTAATATTCGATTGACTTTTGATTTATACACAGTGTTTAAGGATTTCTGATAATTACTGCCTGAGTTATTGCCCTTGATTACTTCGTGAAATTTTGCGGATGCTCTACAGGCCAAAGTGATCATTTGATTGGCTATAGATCGATACAAGGTCTTATCAAACAAGTATTTTAATTTTCATTTATTTTTGATAACTCAGAACAGCTAAATCTATGACTAAGTTTGATAATGAGCATTTTCTTCTCATGGTAAGCCCATTGATAAGCAATTTGATTGGCCAAGACTTTAGAACACAATAACTCTCCTTCTAATTGAGCTAGAATGTTCCAACTTGATGTAGGTGTTTATTAGGTCAATGCCTTGATGGAGTTCGAAGATGAGCATTTTCTGTTTAGGGTAAGCAGAGATAAGCAATTTGATTGGTTGATACTTTAGGACATAATAACTTTAGTTCTAATTAAGTGAGATTGATGAAATTTGGTGTATAGGTTTATTACATCAATACCATGACTAAGTTCAACAATGAGCATTTTCTGCTCAGGGTAAGCAGAGCGATAAGCAATTTGATTGACTGAGACTTTGGAACACAATAACTCTTATTCTACAGTAATTGAGCTAGAATGTTCACACTTGGCGTAGGTGTTTATTAGGTGAATGCCTTGATGGAGTTCAAAGATAAGAATTTTCTGCTAAGGGTAAGCAGAGATAAGCAATTTGATTGGTTGATGTGTATAGTTTTATCACATCAAAACCTTGACTAAGTTCAATAATGAGCATTTTCTGCTCAGGGTAAGCAGAGCGATAAGCAATTTGATTGGTCGAGACATTGGAACACAATAACTCTCCTTCTAATTGAGGTAGAAAGTTTAAACTTGGTGTAGGCGTTCATTAGGTGAATACCTTGATGGAGTTCGATGATAAACATTGTCTGCTTCAATAAGCAGAGATAAGCTATCTGATTGGTTGATGCTTTGTTGCACGATAACTTTGGTTTTAATTAAGTGAGAGTGAAGAAACTATAGATTCATTATATCATTTACTTGACTAAGTTCGATGATGAAAATTTTCTGCTTAGGCTAAGGAGCGATAAGCAATTTGATTGGTCAAGACTTTGGAACATAACAACTCTGCTTTTAATTGAGGTAGAATGTTTAAACTTGTTGTAGATGTTCATTAGGTGAATGTCTTGACTGAGTTCAATGATTAACATTTCGAGCTAAAGGTAAGCAGAGCTAAGCAATTTCATTGGTTGATATATTGGGATAAGAAAACTTTGATTTATCTGATAGAGAGTAATAAAACTTAGTGTATAGTTAATAATCAGTTTGATGTGCTATTAATTAATATGTGCCATCTATTTATTTTGAGATTTCGGAGGTGGACATAGCCTTACTGTTGGCTTGTTCATCATTAATACTATATTAAAATTGGCAAAAGATGTCACATTACTGGAATCAAAAGCTGTCAAGCCTATTACCAGAATAAGAAGTTCCAGGTCTAATTCAGGAGGATTTATGAAACGGAAGTAAAGGAAGTTACCTCCCTACTTCCTCCCTTTGTGAACATAAAAATAACATTGGTATATGGCCATTTTCCGTGAGAAAAATTCTCCTGTGCTTTAGATAGGGAGAAGATCGCGAATACATTGAGTCTCGCGGAAAAACAGGCTACTTGTCACGTCTATTACGAACCAACACTATCAATATTCAGAATTCCACGGCTTTCAATTCCAGAGTTATCACCCAACACCCCCTACCCTTACCCCCCTTTGCCGAAGACCTTGTGAATGCGATGGAGGATACAGTTTGTAAAAGATTCTTTTAAGATTTGGTATGAAGCATTGGAGTCATGATATATTCAGCATTCAACGACCACCCATTCCCAAGTCTTCCCCCTTTGCTGAAAAGCTTGTGAACAGGCTGTTGTTCTCTTGGAATTTGGTTTGAAGCAACAATAGATTATCTTATATATGTTTCTATATAAAGGTGGTAGAAGAAGGAGTGATTCCGATGATGTAGATGAAAACTCAGATGATACTAGATCAACCAGAATTAGAAAAAATCCATGTAGAAACAAATCTGGTAAATATACCCACACCCTGTTTTGTTCAGTAATTTTGCACTTATACCATAACAAAACAGCAGATAAAGGAGACCTTTTAAAGTACTGTTTTGATGTGTTCACATTGAATGTGGTCGTATATTGTCGACATCCCTGTCCGTCGGATAAACTTCAAATTTATACACAATATTTAAGGTAATGCAACAAAGAAGCCTATTTCCGATATATCAACAATTCTGATAATTACTGACCGATTTATGGCCCTTGATCACATTCGAAAAGTCTTGAGGACACTCTGGATGCTAAAGTTTTTATCTGATTGACATGAAATTTATTCACAGTTGTTATTTTCAACAATTTCCAATAATTACTTCCAAAGATATGGTCCATGTCTACTTTGAAAAAAACTTGTGGATGAACAAGATAATAAAGTTAACTTTCAGGTGCACTTATATTTATACACAACTTCTGATAATTGCTGCCAGCATTATTGCCCTTGATCACTTTAAAAAATCTTGTGGACACCCAAGAGGCTAGTTATCAATTGACTTGAAATTTCAGCTATTAATAAGGGTTAGCATCTGTATGAACTAGAAGCCAATCAAATCTTTATGATTTCTGATAAATCCTTCATGAGTTGTTACTATTAATCAGTTCTTAGTTTCTTGTAAATGCTTCTATTACTGTCAAGAGAAAAAATATGCAACAACCCTTGTGAAAAAGTTAACTGGTGTTTATTAATAGCTAATAACAGTGAGCGCTTCAGATGGATAAATATAACACCTTTTCATCTTCACCAGAATTATCAGTGAAATGAAATTTGAACGTGTGTCGGTTACCACTCATTACTTCAGTCAGTTATATAGATAACTTGTATTTGTCATTTTTGGCATCACTTCCCTTTTTATACGCCCACATTGAAATGTGGTCGTATATTGTTTTCGCCCCCGTCCGTCCGTCTGTCCTTCAGTGCGGCGTCCACAATTTTGTGGCCGCTAAAGTTAATATCCGATTGACTTTAAATATATACTCAGTGTTTAAGGTCATGAGACGAAGAAGCCTATTGATTTTCAGTGATTTTCGATAATTAATGCCAGAGTTATGGCCCTTGATCACTTCAAAAAATCTTGTGGACGCTCTAGAGGTCAAAGTTAATATCCGATTGACTTTAAATAAATACAGTGTGTAAGGTCATGAAACAAAGAATCCTATTGATTTTCAACGATTTTCGATAATTACTGCCAGAGTTATGGCCCTTGATCACTTTGAAAAATCTTGTGGACGCTCTAGAGGCTAAAGTTATTATCCGATTGACTTTAAATTGATACACAGTGTTTAAGGTCATGAAACAAAGAATCCTATTGATTTTCAGCGATTTCCGATAATTTTTGCCAGAGTTTTGGCCCTTGATCACTTTGAAAAATCTTGTGGAGGCTCTATAGGCTATAGTTAATATCCGATTGACTTTAAATTTGACTTTAAATTTATACACAATGTTTAAGGTCATGAGATGAAGACGCCTATTGATTTTCAGCGATTTTCGATAATTACTGCCAAAGTTATGGCCCTTGATCACTTTGAAAAATCTTGTGGACACTCTAGAGGCTAAAGTTAATATCTGATTGACTTTAAATTTATACACAGTGTTTGAGGCCATGAGATGAAGAATCATATTGATTTTCAACGATTTCGGATAATTACTGCCAAAGTAATGGCCCTTGATCACTTTGAAAAATCTTGTGACGCTCTAGAGGCTAAAGTTATCATCCGATTGACTTCAGATTGATACACAGAGTTTAAGGTCTTGAGACGAACAAGTATATTGATTTTCAATGAATCTTTGTGACTTGAACAGCTAAATCCATGATGTTAAAAGTTTCGTATACTAAACGTTAGCATAGGGCCGAACTTTATAAATACCAAACAAATTCTAATTGTTTTCTGATAATTACTTAATGAGTTGTTACTCTTAATCAGATTTTAATGTATTATAAATGTTTCATTACCGAAAAAAGTAAAAATATGCGACAACTCTTGTTGACTGCCCGGACAATATAGCTGCTGTGGGCGTATGTTTCGTTGCCTGGCAACCTATCTTTTTCAAATGTTATTACACATCTACTGTAGCAATGATATCTGTGTTAAAATGATATTTGGAATGTGTTTAGCCAGTTCTGTCACATATGTAATAATGGCTGACACCAATATTGTCCTTTTGTCTATTATTGTGGGTGTATTGTTGGCTTACTCCAATATATTCTGATCAAAATGATACAGGAATATGACTACAGCGACAGTCTTGGTTATGGCATTTATAAAACAAATTCTTAATTTAAATCACTCTTTTAAGCTACGCTAATTATAAAAAAAAAATTATTCTGTAGTTAATCATTTTATTTCATGAGGAGATTAACCCTTAACCGGTCATTGTCGACTATAGTCACCACAACGTTGTACAGCTAAGTGGTCACGGTCGACAGCAAGAACCTTTTTTATAAGCCGCATTTGAGTATTTAGTTTCGTTTTTATACGCCCACATTTTCATGTGGACATATATTGTTGTCGCCCCTGTCCAACCGTCCGTCCGTCGGTCAATTGTTTGTGAACAGTCTACAGGTCACAATTTTTATCCGATTTCAATGAAACTTGAAATATAGGTTTATCACCCTAAGATCTCGGTTCCTTTCAATATTGGCATGTATCGGACTGTAACTTCATGGATTATGGCCCCTGATTGTACGAAAAATCATGTTTTTAGCTTGTGAACACTGTAGAGGTCACAATTTTTATCTGATTTAGTTTAAACTTGAAATGTATGATTATAACCCAAAGATCTCGGTTCATTTCGATATTCGCGCATATCGGAACGTAACTTCCTGAATTATGGCCCCTGGTTGTACGAAAAATCGCGTTTTTAGCTTGTGGACCCTATAGAGGTCATAATTTTTATCCGATTTAAAAAAACGTATTATTATATAACCGTTAAACCCTAAGGACGGCTGAGTTCGAATTTCGTGAAAATCGGCCTAAAACTGACAGACAAAATGGCTGCCCCTCGTTCTCAAATAGCTTAAAAATATGGTATATCAAGGTTAAACATGCTACGTTTCGATACACATACAGATATCGTTTTCAAGCAAATAATGATAATCAACAATAAATGTGGTACAATATATAGGTAACAAGTGGAAACCATTTAACAGAATAATCAATACTATCAACAACGCATTATCAAGATCAAAGAAGTTATATAAATTAACATGATGAAAGAATAACACTAATAATACAAAAGGAAGAGATTAGAGGATAATTGACTACTAATAATACAAAAGGAAGAGATTAGAGGATAATTGACTACATGAAACCGTAACATCAAGACGCTAATTAACTATATGAAACCATAACTATAAGATGAGATGAAAGTCAGAGATAGAAACAATCATCACAAGTGAAACCTTAACTACAAGATGAAATAAAGGGGGGGGGGGGGGGGTCATACACTTATGACCACAGACACTTCTCATCACTAACACACACTGATTAAGAATTAAATAAATCAACCCAAAGATTTGGGAGGAAATGTCCTGAGTCTCTGTTTAATTTTGGCTTATGTTTTTGAATTTCCAAAGCCTCGCGAAGAACTCTGCTTTTCCATGTTGATAGGTTTCTAGCTAGTATTTCTGTACTTTCCCATTTGATTTGGTGCTGTGGGTTTTGGTGGATATGTTCTGCTAGCGCTGATTTGTTTTGTTCTTGTTTTTTTAACTGCTGTCTGATGCTCTTTAGTTCTGATTGAAATTGGACGGGATGTTTCGCCCACATAGGCCACATTACACTCACAATTTATTTTGTATATGACTCCCTTTGGGTCCTCTTTTGGTTTTAGTATTCTACCATCAGCTTTTAACATAGTTTTAAGTGTGGTTCCGCTACTGAACACTACCTCTGCACCGATTTGCTCTGTTGATGATAGTATTGATTATTCTGTTAAATGGTTTCCACTTGTTACCTATATATTGTACCACATTTATTGTTGATTATCATTATTTGCTTGAAAACGATATCTGTATGTGTATCGAAACGTAGCATGTTAATAAATTCAGAAGTAGTATATCCATATAAGTGTGTTTTATTTTTAGTGAAATCTATTTCTATATGTCTTATAAGGATTATATATCAAGGTTGTGGACCCAATAGAGGTCACAATTTTTATCCGATTTTGTTGAAACGTGAAATGTAAGTTTATAACCCAAAGATCTCGGTACCTTTCGATATTCGCACATATCGGACAGTAACTTCCTGAATTATGGCCCCTGATTGTACGAAAAATCATGTTTTTAGCTTGTGGACCCATTAGAGGTCATAATTTTTATCCGATTTAAAAAAACGTATTATTGTATTACCGTTTAACCCTTGTTAAAGCTGAGTTCGAATTTCGTGAATATCGGCCTAAAACTGACAGACAAAATGGCCGTCCCTCGTTCTCAAATAGCGTAAAAATATGGTATATCAAGGTTGTGGACCCTATAGAGGTCACAATTTTTATCCAATTTTATTGAAACTTGAAATGTAAGTTTATAACCCAAAGTTCGTGGTTCCTTTCGATATTCGTGCATATCGGACAGTAACTTCCTGAATTATGGCCCCTGATTGTACGAAAAATCACGTTTTTAGCTTGTGGACCCTATAGAGGTCATAATTTTTATCCGATTTAAAAAAAACGTATTATTATATCACCGTTACACCCTAAGGACGGCTGAGTTCAAATTTCGTGAAAATCGGCCCAAAACTGAAAGACAAAATGGCCGCCCTTCGTTCTCAAATAGCGTAAAAAATATGGTAAATCAAGGTTGTGGACCCTATAGAGGTCACAATTTTAATCCTATTTTGATGAAACGTGCATAGCGGAAAGTAACTTCCTCAATTATGGCCCCTTATTGTACGAAAAATCGCGATTTTAGCTTGTGGAGCCCATAGAGGTCATAATTTTTATCCGATTTAAAAAAACATATTATTATATCACCGTTAGACCCTAAGGACGTCTGAGTTTGAATTTTGTGAAAATCGGCCCAAAACTGACAGACAAAATGGCCGCCCTTCGTTCTCAAATAGCGTAAAAATATGGTATATCAAGGTTGTGGACCCTATAGAGGTCACAATTTTTAGACGCCCACATTTTCATGTGGATGTATATTGTTGTCGCCCCTATCCGTCCGTCCGTCCGTCCGTCCGTCCACAATTGTTTGTGAACACTCTAGAGGTCACAATTTTTATCCGATTTCAATGAAACTTGAAATATAGGTATCGGACTGTAACTTCATGGATTATGGCCCCTGATTGTACGAAAAATCACGTTTTTAGCTTGTGAACACTGTAGAGGTCACAATTTTTATCCGATTTAGTTTAAACATGATATGAATGATTATAACCCAAAGATCTTGGTTCCTTTCGATATTCGTGCATATCAAAACATAACTTCCTGAATTATGGCCCCTAATTGTACGAAAAATCACGTTTTTATACGCCCACATTTTCATGTGGACGTATATTGTCGTCGCCCCTGTCCATCCGTCCGTCCACAATTGTTTGTGAACAGTCTACAGGTCACAATTTTTATCCGATTTCAATGAAACATGAAATATAGGTTTATCACCCTAAGATCTCGGTTCCTTTCGATATTGGCATGTATCGGACTGTAACTTCATGTATAATGGCCCCTGATTGTACGAAAAATCACGTTTTTAGCTTGTGAACACTGTAGAGGTCACAATTTTTATCCGATTTGGTTTAAACTTGACATGTATGTTTATAACCCACAGATCTCGGTTTCTTCCGATATTCGCACATATCGGACGATAGCTTCCTGAATTATGGCCCCTGATTGTTAGAAAAATCGTGTTTTTTTATCCAATTTAAAAAAACGTTACAGTTTATCACTGTTACACCCTAAGGATGGCTAAGTTGGAATTTCATAAAAATCGGACTGAAACTGATGGACAAAATGGCCGCCCCTCGTTCGCAAATAGTGTCAAAATATTGTGTATCAGAGTTGTGGACCCTCTGGAGGTCACAAGTTTCATCTGATTTTGATGAAACTTGAAATGCTTGTTTATAACCCACAGATCTCGGTTCCTTTAGATATTTGCGCATATCGGACCATAACTTCCTGAATTATGGCCCCTGATTGTACGAAAAATCGTGTTTTTAGCGTGTGGACCCCGTAGAGGTCACAATTTGTATCCAACTTAAAAAACGTTACAATATATCACCGTTACATCCTAAGGATGGTTGAGTTTAAATTTCGTAAAAATCAGACCGAAACTGACTGACAAAATGGCTGCCCCTCGTTCCCAAGTGTCAAAATATTGTTTATCAGAGTTGTGGACCCTCTGGAGGTCACAATTTTCATCTGATTTTGATGAAACTTGAATGCATGTTTATAACCCACATATCGGACCATAACTTCCTGAATTATGGCCCCTGATTGTACGAAAAATCGCGTTTTTAGCCTGTGGACCCCATAGAGGTCACAATTTTTATCCGATTTAAAAAACGTTACATATCACTGTTACACCCTAAGGACGGTTGAGTTTGAATTTCGTAAAAATCGGACCGAAAGTGACAAAATGTCCGTCCCTTGTTCGCAAATAGTGTCAAAATATTGTGTATCAGGGTCGTGGACCCTCTGGAGGTCACAATTCTCATCTGATTTTGATGAAACTTGAAATGCATGTTTATAACCCACAGATCTCGGTTACATTCAATATTCGCGCATATCGGACCATAATTTCCTGAATTATGGCCCCTGATTGTACGGAAAATCACATTTTTAGCTTGTGGACCCAAGAAAGGTCGCAATTTTTATCCGATTTAAAAAATCGTTTAAATATATCACCATTACACACTAAAATCTTTGTTCCTTTTGATAATTGCAGATACCTGAACTTAACTTCGTGGATTATGGCCCTGATTGTTCAAAAAATCGCATTTTTAGCTCGCAGATTCTCTAGAGGTCACAATTGTTTTCCGATTTTAAAAACCCTATAAATACATCACCATTCTGCCATAATGAAGGTTGAATTCGTATTTCAGGAAAATCGAAATGAAACTGCCCGACCAAATGGCCGCTCTTTGTACACAAATTGTGTAGAAGTGTGTAATACGAAGGTTGTGAACCCTCTAGAGGTCACAATTTTTATCCGATTTTGATGAAATTTAAAACATATCTTTATATCTCACAGATCTCTGTCCCTTTTGATATTTGCACATTTCAGGCCATAACTTTCGGAATTATTGCCCCTGATTGTACAAAAAATCCTGTTTGTTTTTAGTTTGTTCTCTGCCCATCTCTTGCAAAATGTGGGTGTATCCTGCCTGGCAGCCGCTGGTTAATTGATATGGCCACGCCTGCATGTCAGACAGGAACTTGTCTTGTCAAGGGCATTGAGAAAAACATGTCTTTGTTCAACATTTTTTGACGAAAAACGTAATTTAACGGTGTCTGGAACGTTAAAGACGCTCTAAGTGGTTGAAATACTTATGAATTATTCCGAAACGGATTATATCGATGACACCGAATCTGAAGACGATATTTCTGATGAAAAGGATTTAGAATGATTTGCAAATTATAGATCAACATATCCCCAGCAACTTTTTTACTGGTGTCAAGAGTCTATCACTTATAATTAAGTCGATTGAAATAGGAATCAGTCATGTGTTAATGAGTACACATCCTGGCTATGTATATGGTAATTAAGGAATTTACATTTCTAATATGCATTCGGTCACTGTGACGTACGTCAATGTCGTTCAATGAGAGGATTAAGAGTGTTTTCGATAATTGGCAAAGTTGTTTTTACAGGGGGGTCTATATTTGCGACTTTGACTGAAGATGACTCAATGAGATTCGTGTGAACTTGCGTTAAAGTGTATATAATAACCAATGGCTATAAGTACATAAAATTTTATTTGGCCATTTTAGGGGCTCTTTAAATAAATGCATTCTAATATTTTTGATCAAGGTATATATACGGCAACTATATGAAAATTATCCTAGATATTATTACAGGAGACTTTTGCAATTTATTTTGTTACTTTTGTTATCTTGTGTATTTATCATTAATATATACTTCAGCATTTTCAAAATTTATATATCCAAACATGCAATTGTTGACAGATTTTTTATGAAAAGAATTTTATTTTGCTCTATGGAATGAAAACATAATATTTTTTCTCTTCAGTTAAAGCATCAACCAATGGTTACAAAACAAGAGCATCAACTGGTGCATTAAAATCATCAGTCAAAGTCTATGAGAGTTCAGACAATGGTTCATATGAAGATGACGATGATTATGTGATAGACAATACTACTGCTGTTACTATTACAACTACGACTACGACTGCCACTACTAATAGTTCTGAAAATAATTCTAGTGAGGAAAGTTCATCATCATCATCATCATCATCATCATCTAGTAATGCTAAATCAAATGATACAAATGACAGCAAACCACAAGTTAGTGCGCGCCGGACAAGAAGAACTGTTCCACATAATGTGGACAGTGATAGTGATTCAGAACCTCCCAAGTCTCGCTCATCAAAACGTGTAACAAAGAGGAAGAAATATAACAGATCAGAATCGGAAAGTGATGAGGATGAAAATCAGTGTCGTTCTAAATTGACTACACGGACAAAGTATGAGAGTGATAGTGAATGTAACTTAAGTGATGAGGATGATCAGACTGAACCAAACAGGAGAATTAAAAAACAAATAATAGAAAGTGATAGTGACAGTGATTATGAGGAATCACAACCCATATCAAAAATGAAACCATCGAGTAGTGCTAAAAATGTGAAAAAGTCTCAAAACAGTAAAAAAACAAAGTATAATAAAAGAAAGAATAATAATTCTTATGGTGAAGGTAACAGTCGCACAGGTAAAACTCGGACTACACGATTTCAGGGTCGAAGAACTGTTCATTATCCAAATGAAAGTGGAGAAGATGGTGGTAATTCTGATGATTCCCAGGAATCAACTAATGTTGCCACTGTTAGTAGGAGCAGTCGAGGAAGATTACGTAAACCATCTGCTAGAGCTAGAGCAACTTTAATCTAAACAATATTCTGAGTTCCATTAAGTTGAAGACCATATTATTATTTAATATGTAGTTGCTTCCTTGCCATTATTATTTAAAAACATATTGCCTTCAATTATTTTGATGTCATAAGCAGATTTTAATGCTCGAAAAATGTGTTTGTAATATTGTTGCGCCCTTCTTCAGATTACATTCATCATACAATCTATTTAGAATTTATATATTATGTAGTTTACATTAGCAAGACAAAGAAGCCTATTTGAATTTCAGCAATTTCTGTTAATTGCTTCTAGAGCTATGGAAATTGTTCCACTTTGTACAATTTTGTGAATGATCTAACAATGAAAGTTTTATCATGGGATCTGTATGAAATTTATACACATTATGTATAAATTGGGCACTCGAAGAGCCCTACTGAATTTCAACACTTTACCATTATTACTTCTAGATTTATGGCCCTTGCTTAACTTTGTATTTCCTTCAGACTGCTCAGATGACCTACTGTGGGTGTATGTTTTGTTGCCTGGCAAGCTTTGAAAATATGACTAATATGAATTTCTTACATTTGTGAGAATAATTTTGGTAAAAAAAGATCTCATAATTGTCCCCCACCCTCATATTCCTGAAGCAATGGCCCGAGAAATCCCTCTCTGGCCATTCTGGATTGGCTTCTAATACTTGAGCTTTTGAGGGAGTGTGTCTATTCTTCCCATTTAATCAAATCTATCTAGCCCTTCGTTTAATCTGGGGTCTTGCCTAAAACTTTGGACAGTGATTTAAGGTATAAAAAACGGTGAAAGTATTGTTTGTCTCCAAACAGTATTGTTTACATTGTATCCCTGTTGATAGCCTCATTTGTCACGTAATTAGTTTTTCTGCAATATTCTGCTATGCTCTATGACGTAACGTTATGTAAACATATCTGGTCCAATTTGAAGCTCTGTTTAAAGCGTAAAGGTATTGTTACGCAGTTAGCTATTGGTTGTTAATCGGACTATTGACAAGTCATAATTTGGAACAGAAATTTGCTTCCATTACAGCAGTGTTAAGTGGGATTAGCTCTAATCAAAGGAAACACTGCAAGGAGTGTGCCCCACCCTCAACCTTTCCTAGAAAGCAGGGAACTATTAAAACTTGCTTATATTTGTAATTGGTTTTGATGTCTTCATGTTATTGTCCCCCGCCTTTCGAAGAAAACAGGGGATTATTAAAATGGGTTCGTCCGTCTGTCTGTCTGTCCGTCACACTTTTTGGGACACAATAACTCTCTTTCTAATTGAGCTAGAATGTTCAAACTTGGTGTAGGTGTTTATTAGGTCAATACCTTGATGGAGTTCGAAGATGAGCATTTTCCCTTAGGTAAGCGGAGATAAGCAATTTGATTGGTTGATGCTTTGGGACACGATAACTTTAGTTATAATTAAGTGAGAGTGATGAAACTTGGTGTATAGTTTCATTACATCAATACCATGACTAAGTTTCGATAATGAGCATTTTCTGCTTAGGGTAAGCAGAGATAAGCAATTTGATTGGTTGATGCTTTGGGAGACAATAACTTTAGTTATAATTAAGTGAGAGTGATGAAACTTGGTGTATAGTTTCATTACATCAATACCTTGACTAAGTTTCGATAATGAGCATTTTCTGCTTAGGGTAAGCAGAGCGATAAGCAATTTTATTGGCCAAGATTTTGGAACAGAATAACTCTCCTTCTAATTGAGCTAGAATTTTCAAACTTGGTGTAGTTTTTTATTGGGTCAATGCCTTGATGGAGTTCGAAGATGAGCATTTTCTGCTTAGGGTAAGCAGAGATAAGCAATTTGATTGGTTGATGCTTTGGGACACGATAACTTTAGTTATAATTAAGTGAGAGTGAGGACACTTGGTGTATAGCTTTATTACATCAATACCTTGACTAAGTTCGATAATGAACATTTTCTGCTGAGGGTAAGCAGAGCGATAAGCAATTTAATTGGTTCGTTCTCAAAGAGCGTAAAAATATGGTATATCAAGGTTGTGGACCCTATAGAGGTCACAATTTTTATCAGATTTTGTTGAAACTTGAAATGTAAGTTTATAACCCAAAGATCTCGGTTTCTTTTGAAATTCGTGCATATCGGACCGTAACGTCCAGAATTATGGCCCCTGATTGTACGAAAAATCACGTTTTTAGCTTGTCGACCCTATAGAGGTCATAATGTTTACCCGATTTAAAAAAAAAACATTTGAATATGTCACCATTACACCCTAAGGATAGTTGAGTTCAAATTTCATAAATATCAGACCAAAACTGACACTTGGTGTATAGCTTTATTACATCAATACCTTGACTAAGTTCGATAATGAACATTTTCTGCTGAGGGTAAGCAGAGCGATAAGCAATTTAATTGGTCGAGACTTTGGAACACAATAACTCTCATTCTAATTGAGGCAGAATGTTCAAACTTGGTGTAGGCATTCATTAGGTGAATCCCTTGATGGAGTTCGATGATGAACATTGTCTGCTTAAGGTAGGCAGAGATAAGCAATCTGATTGGTTGATGCTTTAGGGGCACGATAACTTTGGTTATAATGAAGTGAGAGCGATGAAACTCTGAATATAGATTGACTAAGTTCGATTGTGCGCATTTAAACCTGATGTAGATGTTCATTAGGTGAATGTCTTGACTGATTTCAATGATTAAAGTAGCTACATCTTACACGTTGAAAATGCGAATTATTTGTCAATTCAAATTAAGATTGATGTTGTGATCTTACCAGGAAAAGGCAGGCTTCTGATATCCAATATTTAAGACAAAATAAATATTTTACCATTGGTACACGAATCGTGTACCATAGTGCATTTTAGCGTTATTTGCAACAAGTGACCAGAAAGAACGAGGCTAGACATATTCAACTGAAGAGCCTGCTGAATAGACTTGAATAACCAGATGCTAAAATTGCTATAGGGTTGAGACACATGCCTTATTTCGCTGGACATAACTGATTTGAAATTAAGAGTCAAAACGGAAACAATTGAATGTAAATCAGTTTATATACAATGCGTTGCGGCCCATTTGGGTCAATTTCAAGGTCCCAAGTATTAGCGATTTAGCTTCTTTAACATTTCAAGCTAAAGCTAAGCAGAGCTAATCAATTTCATTGGTTGATGCTTTGGGACAAGATAATCTTGATTCTATCTGATAGAGAGTGATGAAACTTAGTGTGTAGTTTGATTGCTCGATACTTTTGAAAAAAGTAAATGTGAGATTAATTGATATTATGTGTCATCTATTTATTTTGGGATTTCCGCGGGGGACATCGGCCTCACTATTGGTTTGTTTATTTTGTCAACATATATCATTGTAGATATTAAATACACATTACATGTGACATTTTACATTTTATATACTTTTAACATAGAAATGGTATTGATCAAAAGTTACCTATTGTGTGTGTGTATGTATGTAAATTAGGAATTAACTACTTGTAAATGATTATGGTATCACTTCGAGAACAAATCTATATTTACTATACAAAATTAAGTGTTTGTTAAAAACAAATGAAAAAAACAATACATTATTTAGACATAAATTAAGTAATTAAAGCATGTATGGAAGGGAAATTATCAATTATAAATCAAATACTAAAATAAAATAAAATCAGGTGTGATAATAGAAATTTGTTTTTATACGCCCACATTTTCATGTGGACGTATATTGTCGTCGCCCCTGTCCATCCGGACGTCCGTCCGTCTGTCCACAATTGTTTGTGGACACTCTACAGGTCACAATTCTTATCGATTTTGATGAAACTTGAAATATAGGTTTATCTCCAAATATTGGCATGGATCAGATCGAAACCTCATGGATTATGGCCCCTGATTGTTTGAAAAATCACGTTTTTAGCTTGTGGACCCTATAGAGGTCACAATTTTTATACACCCACATTTTTATGTGGACGTATTATGCCGTCGCTCCTGTCTGACCGCACGTCCACAATTGGCATGTATCGGATCGAAACTTCATGGATTATGGCCCCTGTTTGTACGAAAAATCACGATTTTAGCTTGTGGACCTTATAGAGGTTTCCAAATTTTTATCCGATTTTGTTAAAACTTGAAATAAAGGTTTATAACCTGAAGATCTCGGTTCCTTTCGATATTCGCGCATATCGGACTGTAACTTTCTGAATTATGGCCCCTGATTGTACGAAAAATCGCGTTTTTAGCTTGTGGACCCAGGTCATAATTTTTATCCGATTTAAAAAAACGTATTATTATATCACCGTTGCGCCCTAAGGACGGTTGAGTTCGAATTTCGTGAAAATCGGCCCAAAACTGACAGACAAAATGGCCGCGGTTCGTTCTCAAATAGCGTAAGAATATGGTATATCAAGGTTGTGGACCCTATAGAGGTCACAATTTTTATCCGATTTTGTTGTAACTTGAAATATAAGTTTATAACCCAAAGATCTCAGTTCCTATTAATATTTGCCCATATCGGACCGTAACTTCCTGAATTATGGCCCCTGATTGTACGAAAAATCATGTTTTTAGCTTGTGGACCCTATAGAGGTCATAATTTTTATCCGATTTAAAAAAACGTATTATTATATCACTGTTACACCCTAAGGACGACTGAGTTCGAATTTCGTGAAAATCGGCCCAAAATTGACAGACAAAATGGCTGCCGTTCGTTCTCAAATAGCGTAAAAATATGGTATATCAAGGTTGTGGACCCTATGGAGGTCACAATTTTTATCCGATTTTGTTGAAACTTGAAATATAAGTTTATAACACAAAGATCTCAGTTCCTTTCGATATTTGCGCATATCGAATTGTAATTTCCTGAATTATGGCCCTTGATTGTAGGAAAAATCACTTTCTTATTAGCATGTTCTCTATCCATCTCTCGAAAATGTGGGCGTATCGTGCCTGGCAGCCACTGGTTTAATTTCGATTTCATTTTTGAGCAAATTCGATTAAGAGGTGAAAAAAGGTGTAAAATTGACCTATTTACAACCCATTCAGGCTTTTTAGATTTTAAAATATTTCTACATAACTTTTATAAACTTATAGCTATTATCCATACGATGAAAATGTATGGTAAAATTAGTTTGTAATATGAGCAGTTACTGAGAAATGGGCAATTTTGCATGAGTCCCTTTTTACGCTATTTTGCCTGTAAAAGAGTCAATTATTATTGGATTTTCATATAGAAGTGACACCATTTGATGCGTAATGTCAATTTTGACAAGGTCAAACCAATTTAACAGTTTAAATGTCACCGGAAATGACGTAGTTTGGGCAAAAACTGTATTGATAGCCTTCAAAACACATAATTTATTCATATCAGTCGTATTTGTTTAAAATTTTGATATTTGATTCCAGTCAACTAATAGAATGAACCCATGCGATCATATAGATAACACAAAATGGTTTCAAACTTGTTCAGGTGCGGAGAAATAGGCGTTTTCCAACAGGTCACTTTTCAAGGTTTTTGGTCCATAAAAGTGTCAAATATTATTCAATTTTCATAAAATTTCACTGTGTGATACCTAATGCCATTTACGATTTCATACATTTAATATAAAATGTTCATCACCGGAAGTACCCTCATTTTGGCAAAAACTGTATTTTTAGCCTCTAAAACAAATACTTGTTTGAAGTAAGTGATATTCATTATTAGTATAAAATTATGATATTTGATTCCTATGGACAAATAGTATTAATCAATACGATCATATTGATATCACAACTAATAGAATGAACCCATGCGATCATATAGATAACACAAAATGGTTTCAAACTTGTTCAGGTGCGGAGAAATAGGCGTTTTCCAACAGGTCACTTTTCAAGGTTTTTGGTCCATAAAAGTGTCAAATATTATTCAATTTTCATAAAATTTCACTGTGTGATACCTAATGCCATTTACGATTTCATACATTTAATATAAAATGTTCATCACCGGAAGTACCCTCATTTTGGCAAAAACTGTATTTTTAGCCTCTAAAACAAATACTTGTTTGAAGTAAGTGATATTCATTATTAGTATAAAATTATGATATTTGATTCCTATGGACAAATAGTATTAATCAATACGATCATATTGATATCACAAAATTATTTCTAGCATCTTCCCTTGTCGAGAAATAACCAATTTTGTCAGGATCACTTTTTAAGATTTTTCACATTTTAATTTCAGTTTATTGGTTCTGGGTTAATTATTTATTGCCTGGTTTGTGTAAAAGAAAAGCCCATATGCTCCGTGGTGCAAATTCTCGACTTTCTTCTACCGATAAAAATTTCTGTCGGCACCGGAAGTGACGTAATTTTGCCCAAAACTTGAATTTTGACGTGTCTAAAGGTCTTTTAAAAAGCAAATATTAATGTTAACAAATCGAATAGATCACGATGAATGCTCCTTCTAATGACTCAAAATTTATCTAGCTTATTTTTTTTTATTTCGGTTTTGCGTTTGCACCATTTTGATTGAAAGGTGAAAAAGGGTGTAAAAATGAACCTGTAGCATTAATCCATACGAAGACAATGTATGTGAAATTTAATTTGTAATATGCACCGTTATCGGGAAATAGGCAATTTTGCATGCGTCACTTTTCATGTTATTTAGCCTGTGAACGAGGAAATTATCATTCGATTTTCAATATTCTTTTACCATTTGATGCCTAATGCCAATTTGGACTAGGTCAAACCATTTTAACATTTACACTGTCACCGGAAATGACGTCTTTTGGGCAAAAACTGTATTTTTAGCCTTCAAAACATATATTTTATTCAAATGAGTCGTATTTGTTTAAAATTATGATATTTGATTCCAATCAACAAATAGAATGAAACAATACAATTTTGTCAGGATCACTTTTTAAGATTTTTTTCGCATTTTAATTTCCCATTAGAAAGTCATCTAACTTAGCGGTAAGTTAGTAACAAATTTTGTCAGGATCACTGTTTTGACAGATGTAACACATGGTAACAAATGTATAAATGAAATTGATATTGCTGGGTGTGATTGATTCTGCGTCCATTTTATTACACGTCTGCAATGTTTATGTGGAAATCTGTTTCGCGGTTCCATTGGTACCGGAAGTGACATAAGTTCAAGGGTAACGTGGCACCGAAAGTGACACAAGTTCAAGGGTAACGTGGCACTGGTGAAACCCATCATTACTGCATCGCAGTTCTAGTAAGGTTTGTTATTACAAACAATTATCCTATTAGTGAAAGATTGTATTGTCAGAATTGAAGTATATTGAAATTGATATGATTTTACTTACATGTGTATGTATAAGTAGTAAGTTCAAAATAGCTTGCCATCTTTACCATAAAAAATAATAATGTTTGAATAAACTATCATTTCATTAATTAACTGGTTACTGGTCAACATAAATGTCATTGATAACGTTAGCAAAAACTACTTAATTTCCAAGCTCTGTCTTTGCAGATATAAGGATCTCAATGAAATAAGGTGTAATTATAATGGTATTAAATTTAACTTGTTAAGAGAATATGCCTGTCTATTACTTATATTATTGTATATAAGAATATTATTGTAAATGTTCATTCCTTTTATAAAACATTGAAGTGAATTATGTACCAAAAAAGTGTCCTTAACATTAAATCACTGCTAGCATTTTGTTCTAAAATATTTTTCTTTTCCCAGTTTGAAACTTGGACTTGTATGTGTGCCATCTAGAGATTAGTCAGGATTTGAACTATACTCAGCCAAATTAAAAACTTGACACTCAGGATTTTTGGGACTAGATTTTTAATATTTGGTTTAAGGCAACTATTTTAGTGTTATGTTGTGCACAGACGACCTTGACATCAACAGAAAGCAAGAATACATCTCGCCGAAAGTCCTTGACATTGATAACGTTCGTGATGTCACAGTACCCCCCAAAATGAAATTCACAGACTTGGAGAACAATCGGAATAAACGGTTGTGGCCTCCTCTAGCGTCTCGTACTGCTACACAACGTCTTCTCATGGATCTCAGAACATCAGTAAACACTACCCGAGGAAGACGTCGCACTGCTCGGCAAGAGCATGTTGAAGGTCCTGCAACGTTAGTGGTGGATTCACTTGCTGACGAACATGTCGACCCAGTTCGTCCCAGATGTGTTCAATAGGATTAAGGTCGGGGCTAAGCGATGGCCAATCCAGGACTTGGACACCGGCATTTCTTAAAAAATTCTGGGTAGCAATTGCTGTAGGGGGTCGAGCATTGTCTTGTTGAAACGTTAGTCCAGGTCCATGTCTCTGCATAAACGGAAGAAGAACAGGTTGCAAAATCTGATCCCTGTACTGGACAGCATTTAAGTTCCCTTGGACAACAGCAAGAGGAGAACGTCCATGTGCACAAAAAGAACCCCAAACCATGACGCTGCCAAATCGGTCAACTTCTCTGACGCATACTTGAGCGTAACGTTCATCTTGTCTGCGGTACACTCGGACCCCGCCATCGGCAAATCTCAAAGTGAATCGAGATTCGTCACTAAAGACAACCGCATTCCACTGTCTTTGAGTAAATCTTATGTGTCTTGTGGCCCACACAAGTCGGTTACGGCAATGAAGAGGTGTCAATATTGGTCCATTATAGGGCCTCCGAGCTCGAAGACCAGCAGCCTGCAAGCGATTTCGAACAGTTTGTGCAGTTACCCTTCCACCAAACATCTCTCTACTTGTGGAGGTTGCAGTGACAAATCTGTTTCTAAGATGACGTAATCGTATTGCTTGATCTTCCTGGAGTGACGTCACACGTGACGCTCCCGCGTCTGGCGTGAACAATTAAAGGCTCTTGCAACAGTGACCACAGACTGACCAGCATAGAGCCTACCTATAGCACGTAGACGGTCTACATTTGAAAGGCGCGGCATTTTCTAACAAAGATGAAAATAACAATTTTAATTTGTTTTTATACGCCCACATTGAAATGTGGTCGTATATTGTCGTCCGCCCGTCCGTCCGGCGTCCACAATTGCTTGTGGACGCTCTAGAGGCTAAAGTTAATATCCGATTGACTTTAAATTTATACACAGTGTTTAAGGTCATGAGACGAAGAAGCCTATTGATTTCCAGCGATTTCCAATAATTACTGCCAGAGTTATGGCCCTTGATCGCGTCAAAAAATCTTGTGGACGCTCTAGAGGTCAGAGTTAATATCCGATTGACTCTAAATTTATACACAGTGTTTAAGGTCATGAGACGAAGAAGCCTATGGATTTTCAGCGATTTCCGATAATTACTGCCAGAGTTATGGCCCTTGATCACTTTGAAAAATCTTGTGGACGTTCTAGAGGCTAAAGTTAATATCCGATTGAGTTTAAATTTATACACAGTGTTTAAGGTCATGAGACGAAGAAGTTTATTCATTTTCAGTGATTTTCGATAATTACTGCCAGAGTTATGGCCCTTGATCACTTCAAAAAATCTTGTAAATGCTCTAGAGGCTAAAGTTAATATCCGATTGACTTTAAATTGATACAGAGTGTTTGAGGTCATGAGACGAAGAATCATGTTGATTTACAACGATTTCCGATAATTACTGCCAAAGTTATGGCCCTTGATCACTTTTAAAAACCTTGTGACCCTCTAGAAGCTAATGTTATCATCCGATTGACTTCAGATTCATACACAGAGTGTAAGGTCTTGAGACAAACAAGTATATTGATTTTAAATGAATTTTTATGACTTGAACAGCTAAATCCATGATGTTAAAAGTTTCCTATGCTAAACGTTAGCATGGGGCAAAACTTTATAAAAACCAAACAAATTCTAATGGTTTTCTGATAATTACTTAATGAGTTGTTACTCCTAATCAGATTTTAATGTATTATAAATGTTTCATTGCCGAAAAAAGTAAAAATATGTGACAAACTCTTGTTGACTGCCCGGACGAGTTAGCTGCTGTGGGCGTATGTTTCGTTGCCTGGCAACCTATCTTTCCAGTTCAAGTTACGTGTGCGTGCTCAGTTTAAGCAAATTTGCATCAATTGACCTCACGAGTTTGTGTTTGCACGTGTTTTTCAGGTTTTTCATCTTTATATGCTCAAAAGTCACGTGATCCATGTGACTTTACAATTTTATGAAATTAAAGGCTTCTTACTACTTACTATCGTTAGAAACACATTAAAATTTATTTGACTTACCAGAAAAAAAAATTTGTTGAAATTCATCAGTGTCAAGTTTTTAATTTGGCCAAGTATATATTTGCCATTCACAACAAAAGGCACAGTATCAGTGAAATCTTCAGGGATTTACAGACTGGTTTCCTATTGAAAGTCAGTTTAGCTTGTAGTCCCTCCAGAGGTCACAATTATTATTCGATTTAGAAAAAAAAAACATTCGAATATACCACCATAATGTCAGTTGAGTTCGAATTACATGAAGATCGGACCAAAGCTGCTGGACAAATGGCCGCCCCTCGTATGCAAATAGTGTAAACATCTGGTATATCAAGGTTGTGGACCCTCTAGAAGGCACAATTTTGATCTGATTTTGATGAAACGTGAAATGCATGTTTATAACCAAAAGATCTTGGTTCCTTTCGATATTCGCGCATATCGGATCATAACTTCCTGAATTATGATCCTGATTGTACGAAAAATCATCGCGTTTTTAGCATGTGGTCCCTCTAAAGGTCACAATCTGATTTTAAAAAAACGTGTTCGAATATATCACCGTTACACCATAATGTTGGTTGAGTTCGAATTCCGTGAAAATCGGACCAAAACTGCCAGACAAAATGTCCGCTCCTCGTACGCAAATAGTGTAAAAATATCGTATATCAAGGTTGTGGACCCTCTAGAGGTCACAGTTTTAATCCGATTTTGGGAAGTTGAAATGCATGTTTATATCCAGAAGATCTTGGTTCCTTTCGATATTCGCGCATATCGGATCGTGACTTCCTGAATTATGGCCCCTGATTGTACGAAAATCGCGTTTTTAGCTTGTGGTCCCTAAGGATGGTCGAGTTCGAATTTCGTAAAAATCAGACCTAAACTGACATACAAAATGGCCACCCCTCGTACTCAAATAGTGTAAAAAATATGGTATACCAAGGTTGTGGACCCTCTAGAGGTCACAATTAATTTTCTTTTGATTTCGATGAAACTTGAAATGTAAGTTTATAACGCAGAGATCTTGGTTCCTGTCGATATTCTAGTCACATATCGGATCGTAACTTCCTGAATTAGGGCCCCTAATTGTACGAAAAATCGTGTTTTTAGCTTAAGAGGTCCCTCAAATGGTCATAATTATCTGATTTAAAAAAAACGTTCGAATATATCACCGCAACACCGTGATGTGGGCTGAGTTTGAACCTTATTTGACTGACATAATGTATATAACAGAATGAGGCCTGGATAACAGCTTTGTTTCACTAGTAATCGTATAGTAATATCTGCTTATTTCAATCAGATAGCACGAGACGGAGATGGCAAACTTTCAATAAAAAAAAACAACCCATGTTTCCCATCAGTGTTTGTATTGCAACTGTTGCCAAGTTCTTAGATCTTATAATGAAATATAACAACAAGCTATCGTTGTTGGAATCCTCAATCACTCTCAAATTACATTTCACAGGGATTACTCTAATATGTGTGTACAAACGTTTACTAGTTACGCCACAACTTATACTATTATAACGTAACAACAGTTTGTGCGGAAATACATTTGACGTCTGCTATTAACAGTACTTTACAATGGAGGAAATAAAGCCAATTGGCGATTAGGTGAAACGGAAACTTTGCTTTGTTATGTACCCATAGATAATTGGTCAAGACGTAAGTTCGACAGTCTTGACTTGAAGATCAGAGTTCGTGGTCGGTCCAGACGTTGTCTGTTCCCATCATTACATATTCCTACAATATTAAAAATGTGGAAGGTAAGTTCATGTTATACATTATATAAAATAGGAGTTGTTGGTTGGATGACATTGTGCAAGATACAGACCTGTTGAAATGCTGTATTGGATTTGTTAAGTCTGTTTTACGAACGGTTATCATTCGAGTTAAACTGTCTTGGAAATAAACAGAACAGAAACAATACACCATAATTTCTATGAGGATAAAAAAAATACAAGCTGAATATAAAGCTTATTTGGTCGTTAAGCACGTACTGTGTCTTGGGTGAAGTCCACCAATATTATGTAATAAATATGCTGTCGTAATTTTAACGCAGAGATCATTGCTACTGTAGATGCATAACGAAGATTTGAATAGACGGAAAGTGACGCAAAAAAAAGAGGAAAACGCGAGTTATCCATATTATATATGTATATATTATGTAGTTTCAGGGCAGACAGCTAGCTTAAATGATTTAATGTACACGTATGTCAGAATAGAATGAAGTAAAGTGGAGAATTTTTACCTGGACGTATTTTATTTTATTATTTATTTATGTAGAGGGAGAGGGAGGTAACGTTCACTCGACACAAACTAGGTCATCCCGGGACTAACATGGTTCAGTTTTGTTTCAATAGTTCGCTTGCGCATAGTGGTCTTTAGCAGTGGGAAGAAACCGGACGACACGGAGAAAACCCACGAGGTTGGACAGGCGACGCTACTCCTTGTCACTCTCAAGCGCGGAATCGAAACCACACTACTTGACCCAATGACAGACCTGGTGATTAACCTACTAGACCCCCAAACCCCCCTCCTTATAAAAACTACCGGGCAAAAGAAAGTTGATACAGGTAAATTCGGTTTTATCCATACAATAATGTTGCAATAAGTTTAGACATTTAATCAGAAAACATTTGACAAAATATACCCTGTGTACACATCGCAGTCACTGAACGCAGGATATGCTGAATTTCGTGCAGTCACGAAAAATCGTAAAACCAGGATTGTGGGTAATTTCGTGAGATGCACGTACATGATTGTTTCATAAATACATGGGGGGACAGAGCGATGATTCAGTATGAAATCTACTGAGATGCCAAGATTAACACTGGGGGAATGAGAGAGGGCTATTGGTATGGCACAGATGGGAATTCTCAACGGCAAATTGCAAGAACGTTCCAGTTCATTCCAACCACCATCAGCAATCTTTTCCGTTGGTTTCAGCAAACAGGCCAAGCTCAAGACCAACCAATATCCGGAAGTTCAAGGGTCACAACTCCAGCTAAAGATCGCTATATCCGGACAATTCAACTCCGGAACAGGTTCGTGACTGCGGCAGCCACAGTATTGGGACGGACACCCCCTCAGCAGACACATTGTCTCCCGATGGCTCCACATTATTGGTATAAAAGCATAGCGACTATTTCGAGGAATGATCTTAAGCCGTCAACACCGTCAGCGTAGGTCACAATCGACAAAAGAACTGTACGTCGATGGCAGCGACGTTATTGGCTCCGTGAGCTCTTCACAGATGAAAGTAGCTTCAACCTGTTTAGAAATGATGACCGGGTTCGTGTTTGTCGCCGTAGAGGGAGAGACTGGCACCTCGCTGCACCCAAGATGTTCATCCTTATGGTGGTGGTGGTGGTGGTGGCGTTATGATAGGAGGGATTTGTGACCAGCACACGGGCCTACTTATCAAATCTGCTTAGTAATAAGTAGCAATTGTTTTCCATTGAATTGTGACCTGTATATTCCCGTTCAGTTACTAAATGCCTACTTATCAAATCTGCTCATTGATAAGCAGTAACAGTTATAAGCTGTGGGAATCGATACATGCCGAAACGCGTCAGCTAATTGAATGTCATTAGATAAGAGAACACGAGGAAAATAGAAATAGTCCATACATTCCCTTGTTTATATTCATTCTATACCTTATAAAAACATGGTAATGCACGGACTTTTTCTGTTTTTCTTTCGTGTTCTCTTTATATAGTGGCAGTCAATTCTTTTTATGAATTGTCAGATATCCTCTCACAGTCTCACACAACAACTTTTAGTCGCGGAAGGAATTATTAGTGAGCAGAAATTCGTCCGTGTATCTGTTATCACTCGTCACATCAGTCAGTTATAGAGGTATGACTCGTGTTTTCCTTTGGTGTTCGTCACTTCCGATTCAGGAAACCTGTATTACTCAGCTATCGTAGCAATGATCTCTGTGTTAAAATTATATTTGGAACGTGTTTAATTAGTTCTATCACATATGTGATAATGACTGACACCAATAATGTCCTTTAAATATCAATGGGACTAAAAGCTATTAAGCTAATTGCGAAGGCAAATCCAAGAAGACGCAACACATGGTCATCAGCTCGCACCGTTGTCAAGAGCGCCAACTCTCTCGTCTAGTGCGGCAGATAACTGCATATTATATCAGGGGAATCATTCAAATGTAGGGACTATTCTTTTGAAGAAGCCCATTAGCAATTCGAAAATACAAGGTGGTGGCCATTTTCAAGATGCTAGACTTTCGTGCAACGAAATATCATTGATCCTTACTGATCCTTAACAGTTTAAGCTTTTCAGGATGCTAGATTTTTGGGCAACGAAATATCATTGATCCTTACTGATCCTTAACATAGTTTAAGCTTCAGCTACATTAGATGATATAGCTTATCTATATACTGTTTCTTATAGACACAAGGTTGGATTAGATGGCCAAATGTTTTATACGTCTGATAATGTAATACATGACTTACATACTAACATACTATATAATAGGTCATAGTGCTACTAAAATTACGCCATTGTTCATGTAGGAAGAATATGAGAATAATAATACTGGTTTTTATTTACATTGACAGCTTACGTATTTACAGAAATATTCTGATGATATAAAATATCAGGCTCCGTGGAGATTGTTTTCCCCCTTCCACTGCAAACAAATATCACAGAAAAAAAATTTATAGTACTTATACAATATATTATTAGTCTCCAAATATAAACACAATATTCTAGTTACATCGCGACTTTTTTCTACTGTATTTCATCATCGTTATCGAATGTCAAACCCACAAAGAAACATCTGTAATTTTGGAGCCTACTAATTTCTGACAAGGATTAATAATATATGGTTAAATCAATTTTATTGCACTAACTTAGATTTGTGTGTATTACAACACCGGTATTGGTTGGATTGATACAAATGTTAAATACAGCAATTTATCTATAGGAACGGTTTACGCAGCCCTTAATAACTTGCATGTGTATAGCAAGTGTAATATACAATTTACTAGCGTGTGTGTATTCCAGTTACTAGTGTCCGAATTCAACTATAACCACCATATAGTTTCACCTTAAATTTAAGGTATTTCCTTGATATTTCCTTGATCTTTACAAAAAATGACCAACAAGGACAGATTTGTTATAGATACAATTGAAATTTTGACAAGGCGACATAATACGGTCAATGAAATGAAATGAAATGGGGTTTAAGTCCTAATGTTTTTCTCCGACTGGGCTAATGAAGAGGGGAACACGTTATTTATTGTGCTCTAAGGGAAATTGTGCCCAGACAGCGGCAGTACGGCCTACTCTTATATCGATTTTTTTTACATGCACGCCAGTGTGTACACGGAAGCTCGGTTTTTTGACCATACGCTATCTCTTGCCATGCCCTCTGTCTTGAACTACTAAAAAAAGGGGAACCCCGCCGGAAAATCCCGATGAACTTTATCGGCCAACGCAAGGATCGTACCTGGGACCTCCCGGTTAGGGAGCCAACGTCTTACTCACTGTGCCACCGTGGCTGCCTGTCGTCAATAATTAACTTATCCAGACTATAATCAACTCTCGATGGCATCGCTAGCCTGCGATATTTACTGGATCAGGATCCGATTTGCTGCTCTACTTTCATTCATGATTTAATCATGAAATGAACAATCGAGACTCTGTTTTTTTATCATATCGACTTTAGTAATGATGATCGGGGCTCTGCCGAAAATTCAATCCTAAATTCTCGGTTCAGAGTGGATCAATTTGACTGAAATTTTCAGCAAAGTCCCTTTACATTATCTAGTTTTTAACTAATATAGCGAGAACTGCCAGCTCTTTATCGAATCTCACATGATGTATCTTTAATGATTCATTCATTCAAATTCTTGTTAAATAGCTTGACTTCATTTACGTCTTGGTTTCTTGGAACGACGTGGAAATCCGAATTTTGTTTTTGAATATGGAATGTAGTTTTGGTGAATAAATCAATTTCTATATATATATATTTTAGTTGATATTGTGAAATAGCATTAATATTATTCAAGTAAGCTAAACTTGAAATGTTATTAAAGTGCTTATAATAATTATAAGAAACCTAATTCTAGCCCAAATGCGGCCAAGTAGGGGAAATGCCTCTCAAATTTATATCCGGAACAGTTTAACTTAAACTTATTGTTCTGACACACAATATCTTAAACATTACTACCAGTGCCGGATTAATCATTAGGCAAATAAAGCACGTGCCTTAGGGTCAGTCAAAAGTTCAGGGCCCGATTCCTAGAAAATTCTTAAGCACGTTCTTGTGCTTAGATTTAAATAGACTTCGCATTTAAGTAAACTCACCTTATTTTGTGTTCCCAGAAAATTCTTAAGAACGTTCTTGTGCTTAGATTTTAAGTAGACTTCATTGTAAGCACAAGAACGTTATTATGCGTTCCAAGAAAAAACTTAAGCACAACTTCGTTCTTAAACATAGTCAATCTATGCACAAGTCCCAAGCAAGGTATAGGCCTACGGCTTGCTTACCAACCTTAAGCCTGTTTCCACTTCAAAAAGATGGCTGACCGTACAGTTAGTTATTCGACGGCATTTCCGACACCTTTTGATACCAAAGAGACAGGCCTACAAGACAGAGAAAATCCTTCTCCAGAAGAAATTAAGAATAGGCCTAGGCCTACTATAGAAAATTTCGCTTCTACCCTGAAACCATTTTATTTATTTGTCAATTAGTAAACAATAGGCTACAAACACACGGGCTACTTAAGATCAGGCGCTCTCACAATTATTCAGTTAGTTTGTATGTGCCTGCGTTTTTTTATCTTGTGGCACATTTTATATTGTGTATAGGGACACGTCAAATGCATCTAAATCAACCATATATATGACGTCAATGAAGCAGACGACAAATTTATGACGTAATTCGCATACCAAAGTGGTTTTTGTGACGTTAAAGAGCATCGTAGTCTCAGTTTATGGTAAACTTTACCAGTCACAATGTGCTTAGACTTATACTTGACTTGTGCTTACGTAAGAATGGTCTTGAGAATTTTCTAGGGACGGTATTTTTATAAGTTTCTTACGTAAGAAAAAGTGAAGCATGACTTTGTGCTTACTTTAAGAATTTTCTAGGAACCGGGCCCAGGGCCCTGTTTCACAAAAACTTAAACTAAAATCACTAAAATAGATTTTAACTAAAATCAAACTGAAATTTTAAATTTTATCCGTTTCACGAAGATCGATTGTAACTTAAAATGCAATTTTAATAGATTTTAGTTAAAATTGCTTGTGCTGGCGTAGTGCACAATTCCGGCGAGGGCACTTGGGGTGTACGCATACACGCCTCGGAACTGAAAACTGTTGCCAGGTTGAACTAACCGTTACAATGCCAATGAGGAGAGTTTCATACGTTGTAACAATGCCTGCGCATGGTCAGACAGTCGTAGAGAGATGAAATAAATAAGTTTATTGCGTGTTATTTGTTTTGAAATGTATCAGTTGGTTGGCTTTGAACTTGCATGTCGCTTTCGTGACCTTGACATTGGATTTACTCGCAGGCTTCAACGGAAATAATGCGTATCGATAAACTAAATCACTTGAATTTCGTAGTTTTGTGGTATTTTGGATAACGGAAATTATTGAGAAATTGTCACAAACATGTATTTAATAACTTTTAAACTAATACACAAAATAACCAATGTTCCGATGCCTAGGTTTGAAATGTTAGTCCCATGGACCCTTTCAATAATAATTTGAAAATGCCAAAGTGCCACACTCCTTATTGGATAATGCCTATCTATCTTATTAAATTATAATGATTTTATCACAATATAAAATATCCTTGGCTACTATATAAATCATCATAACCCCAAAACCATAATTAATACTTTGCATATGGCGTATCTAGTATTATAGGACTGACGGGGTTTCGATTCCCCGGTTGTACGTGACAGGGAGTAGTGTCGCCCGTCCAGCCTCGTGGGTTTTCTCCGGGTCCACCGGTTTCCTCCCACTACTAAAGACGCCTATGCGCAAGCGAATTATTCAAATAAAATTAAACCATCTGTTAGTCCCGAAAGTACATAGTTTGTGTCTAGTGGACGTTAAACCCCTCCTCTCTCTCTCTCTCTCTCTCTCTCTCATTTTAAACAATTGTAGGCTTACAAAGATATTTTTTATAGACATTATAAGATATGAAGTGAGTTTAGATTTTTTTTAGGTGGGTTTTTTTTTTTTGTCTATTAATTATTTGAAAATAGTATAATTTATACTTGAATCATATGGTAATATATAAAATAGTAACAAAGAGTTTTGTTTACTGGGGTTTTGAGGGTTTTTTTTTGTTCTTGGGGTTTTAATTTGGGGCGTCATCTAATTGCTTATATTGCCTTACAATAAAATAAACGGGTGGGCCGCAGCTATATTTCCCATGCACTGAAAAGAAATCGAATGAAAATTATTTTTGTGAATGATAGTATGTTTAAATTATATAACCCGGGCCATTGGCAATATTATCATTATTCCAAATATATCTATATGTCGCAATGGATCTCACAACGTAGCTCTAATTAATGTTTGTTAATGGCGTGATTTTAAGTTACGAGAGAGTGACCGCTGTCCTAAGTTACAATAGATTTTAGTTAAAATTGTCCCTAAAATAGTTTTGTGAAACGCCACTATTGTAAGTTAAGATACAATTTTAACTTACAATATTATTTTAGTGGATTTTACCTAATATATATATGCTTAAAATCGTTTTGTGAAACGCATCTATCTTACGTTAGGAGGGAATTTTAGTTTAAGACGGTTTTAAGAAGATTTAAGTTTTTGTGAAACAGGGCCCAGGTCACCACACACACACTAAAAAAAAGTTATAATATTGCTACTGTAATCTTATAGTAATTCATTATATGAGTAATTACATAGGAATGAATTTATGAGTTGTTCACGTCTATCTTCAGGTCATCTTCTGTCTCCTGTTCTCTGTCTTCTGCTGCAGCCATATAGTGGGTAAGTTAACTACTTAACAGGCACATTTGCCCCACATTGACCATATATAATTTTACTTCATTTTAAAACATAAATTCTGCTCCAAAATGTTCAAATTTGTCTAGAAATTCAAATCAAATTTCTATCAATTTTCATTAGATGTAGACAGCCTACACCTTTGTCCTTACATGTGCCCCTTCTTCATTAGCCCCATTGGTTCAGAAAGTAGGACCCATGTGTCTATTAATATGCTGTGGATATATTACACAGACTCATCGACGTAGGCTTATTATAATATATTTATTAAATAAAACAATCTTACGACCCAACTTGGTCTAACATGCATGCTCTCAGTTTTATACAAGAAGCACGTGCAATACTTTTTAAGGCAGAACTATAGTCTATTTCAATATTCAATATTGTGCTAATAGTCATTATATACTAAACATAAATAAACGTCAGTACGACTTAAAATCAGAGAGGCACTTTAATCAAATCATTCTAGAAAACGACTTACTAAATGGATAAAAGCAATTTTTTGTGAACAGTATGTTGAAACATTAGTGATTAATTCATCACAATTCCAAGACATTACGAGAAGGTTTAGAGTCTGTACACAGTCTATACATCAATAACAGCAGAGCAGCGTCTATACATGGAGTGGACCAGACGATTGATGAACGCCATTGGCACCTGTGACCACACTCTCAGAAAAGCCTGGCGCAATCCATCGGCTGTGTTTGGTGTCGGTACGACGTTATTAAATCTGAATTCCATCCCAAAGATGTTCAATCGGGTTTAAGTCCGGACTAAGGGCTGGCCAGTGCATAACGTTGACACCGTTATGCTGTAGAAAGTTCCGATTAACTCGGGCGGTGTGGGCACGGGCGTTGTCATACTGGAAAACGTTGTTTCGATAACGTGCGAAATGTGGTATGACGTGGGGTCTGAGAGCTTGATCGATGTAGCGCATTGCTGTAATGGCGCCTCCTCTCCCTGGACCAAGATTTTGGAACACCACGGGACCCACTCTCTGGTTCAGGCCGATTCCACCCCAAACCATTATGCTTGGACCTCCCCATGAGTCTCGTTCCATGACACATTGGTCAGAATAACGCTGGCCACGTCGACGCCATATTCTAGTCCTGCCATCTGCAGTTGATACGCAATACCGACACTCATCTGTGAACAGAACAGTTCTCCATTACCCGTGTCGCCAGTTCTGGTGTTGTTGGGCAAACTGTAGATGTTCAAGTCGTTGGCGAGGGGTGCGGATCGGTCCACAGTAAGGTCTACGGCAATGGATGTTCTCCCTATTGAGACGTCGGCGCACTGTATCGGTACTGATGGGTCTTCCGTGTGTTCCCTGTGTCAGACGTGCTGTCTCAGACGCCCGTGTGAAGGGATACTGCACGTGCTATCGTACAACATGGCGATCTTGTCGCCTTGTGATAACCCTTGGTCTACCAGTTCGGGGGCGATCATCCGTGGTTTTGGTGGCCCGAAAGCGTTGCTGAAGCCGGTAGATGGTCTAACAATGGCAACGGCTTGGGCAGTGTGGCCAAAGTCGAGTCTTCCAAGCGCCTGGTTCCTCTGAGCTGTTGTGAGTCGTGGCATGCTGCTGACGTTGTAGTGTGAATGATTCAACCAGGTATGGGGGTGCATTTTATAGGGCTGGTCTCGGTGAAAATCACGTGCAACATGAGTTACATGAAAATCATTGAGAACACATTACCATCTCAGAAGTCAGGTTGCGTTTTTGAGAACATTTCCTGGGTTAAATTCTGTGTTTGGGAAGGAGCCGTATTACTCAGGTAATCGTTAAACTGACAACGCTTAGCGGAACATTGTATAGATATGCAAAGGTTTCATTTACATCACCATACATACAATTATGTCGTATTCCCTTTAGTAATAACACATTTCGCCGTTGTATAAATGTAAACAATGTTTCGTAGGTAGCCTTCGTGTCCGAATATCTGGTATGTCCTTGACCTTATGCTAATATCAATGAGCAAAGTGTTAATTTTAAAAACAAATTTTTAATTTTTTAATTTAAACAACTGCGGAATATGATTAATTCATATCAAAATACAAATGAGTTGTCATTTACAGGATTTGATAATATTTGATAATTGAGCGGTAATTCGACACAGAAAGGTAAATAAAAATGCAGTAAATACTTTTTGGCTAATACTATCACAATTATCCTTACATCAGGTGGTAAATCGTAATATTATAGACTATTGTGCTTCATTTGCAAGAACTGTCACATCTTTTAATATCAAAATTATTCATGGACCGTTCTGTAAATCTATGACAACAGAACTGTCAAAATCTAAGCTATCATGGCTGCCGTTGTCAAGTGTTGGTAAATGTTAGCAAAAAGGCTTGTTTCTAAATTTTGCAATCAGTATAGAGCGCAGCACGTTTTTTTTTTCTTCTGGAAGTCTGCGTTCTAGAAGTCTCACTTCTTTGTTAAAGTCAGGCCTCTTCCTGGAGAAAGGAGTACTTAATGCCAAATTATACCCCCGCCTCACTTCGCTGGGCCCGAGACCTTAAACCCTATTTCATTTCCTTACGTGTGCATAACTTCCTACACAGGGATCGGTGCCGAGACGGGGTATGCATAATCTTTCTAGAACAAATGTTAAAGGAGCTAAATCGCTAACATTTGGGGCCTAGAAATTGACAAAAGTGGGTCGCAACGCATATAATTCTGTAATATGAATGTATATAAACTGATTTACATTCAATGGTTTCCGTTTTTACTCCAATTTCAAATCAGTTATGTTCGGCGAAATAATCCAGCAGTCTCAAGCCAGTGCAAATTTCTAGCGTCTGGTTATTCCAGTCTACATCCGCCGTTTGATTTGGCTCAATGTGTCTAGCCTCGCCCCTCGAGTCTCTTGATACAACTGGGGCTGAAGCGCATTATGGTACACGATTCGTGTACCAATGGTAAAATGTTTATTTTGTCTTAAATAGTGGATATCAAAAGCCCATCTTTTTGCGGTAAGATCACAACATGAATGTTGATTTAATTTGACAAATAATTCGTGTTTTCAATGTTGAAGATTTTGGATGATATTGAGTTAGAGACTTAGCTACTTTAACACTTCTCGTATATTTTAAAAGTTATTGTTGTGTTTTTGTGTATATTTTGTGTGTGCTTTATGCACATATATGCAATAGGTATAGATTGGCCCAAACAGAACGTGGTTTGGATTTGTTTCATTATATGTTTTGAGTGCACGGTTACTTTGAATATATGATATGTCACGGTAATACTTTACGTCGTTTTTTTCTTTTTTTACAGTGGGGGAGAGGTCGTCCCATTCTAGAATGTCTGATTATAAAACTATACAGAGCAATGGATCTCCTGCACATGCAGCATATGTTAAAGTTGTTGATAAATCCAGTTCAAATAACTTTAACCATCAAGCATCGCCGTACTCGGATTCACCAACCTCCAAAGAATCCGTTAATGAAGATAAATTAACAGGAAAAGCATATTACAATGGTGTATCAAAAGGAATAGCTGATCAAGAATTCTACTCTCAGACACTACTTGATCAGTCACAACGCCTTTCATTACAAACAGAAAATAGCAAAAGACAAGCCCAACAAGCTTCATCCAAACAAACCACAACCCCATTTCCATTCAAAAACAGAGTCACAAGACCTCCGGACAGACGGGGTGAGTTAAATAAACGTTCACTTAAATATCCTACCGATATTATTCACATAGAACCGTTAAAATATCAATAACATGGAGCATGGGATGTTGGGTAGAAGCAAGTCTTACACGGGTACTGGACTAACTCCATTCTTAGTATTTGTGGTCTTGGCGAATAACCAATATGAAATATAGTCGATTTTCTTCTGAATAGCATTTTAAAATAATCAGTCATAGATTAGAAAGTGTTTTACATTACATCAAACATTGATTTATTTGTACATATATATTTGCAGAATGTACGGATTGTGTGCTGAATGGTGTAACATATAAAGGTCATTCAAGATTTGAATATCAAGAGGACTGTTTACACCATAGATGCATTTGTCATTGTGATGGTTCGTGGGATTGTCCTGCTGGTAGTGTTATAGATATGTGTGAACGTGAAAGCATGAATAACCCCAAATGCCGAACCTGCGATGTTCAAGACCAGCAAATTACAGGCAATTCTTACTTTGATATGACTGAAGGTTGTATTATGTACAGTAATTGTATTTGTCGTTGCAATGGCTCTTGGGAATGTTCTGATGACAGATCTGAAAATATTTGTGCAGCCGTGGAAACCACAAAAACGCCCACAGTCACTGATTGTCAAAAATGTTTTGCGCATGGGTTATATCGCAGAGGAAACAGTAGATTTTCACACACTGATGATTGTTTTGAGTATGATTGTGACTGTTTTTGTGATGGGCAATGGGAATGTCCTTCGGGGAGAGCGCAAAATATATGTGACTACGAGGACGAAAGTCCACCGGGTTGCAGTGAGTGTGAGGTAAATGGAGAATTCTTTGAAGGAAACTCGAAATTCAAGCAAACAACGGGATGTACTGAAAAAACTTGTGACTGTCATTGTGATGGTACCTATGATTGTCCGGCACATATGATGAAAAATATCTGTAATAAAAACGAAACAAGGAAATGTTCAAGATGTGAAGTCAGTGAAACCGAATCATATCCTGGTGATTCCAAGTTTACATTAAGTAAAGAGTGTATACATTATGATTGTACATGTAACTGTGATGGTTCATGGTCGTGTCCAGGAAAAGACGCCAGGAATCTGTGTAAAGGCGAAAGACCGGGAGGTTGTAGAAACTGTGAAATATCCGATAAGGAATTTTATAACGGTAATACAAACTTTACTTTACAAAAAGGGTGTATTGGATATAACTGTGTATGCAATTGTGATGGTAGTTGGAACTGTCCCGGTGAAGATGCTAGAGATACATGTAAAGGCGAAACAATTGGTGGCTGCAAAAGTTGTATATTATCTGATCGGGAATACTATCCCGGTGACACAGACTTTGAGATGAAACAAGGATGTATTCTCTATCAGTGTAGATGCAACTGTGACGGTGGATGGAATTGTCCAGGATACAAGGCGAAGGATATATGTCAAAATCCGGAAGCAGAAAATGATAGAAGACTTGAGACATGTAAAGCATGTAAACTTTCGAATGGTGAGAGATATGAACCCAATACCAAGTTTCTACTAGAACGTGGCTGTTATCAATATGAATGTAATTGTAACTGTGATGGTTTATATGATTGTCCTGATAAATCAGCTACCAACATATGTGATGTGTCTCCTGAGGATAAAGAGGAATTCCGTGCCCGACAAGAAAAGGAGTTTCAACGACAAAGATTGCGAGAACAGGAATTGATGAGAGAACAACAGCGAAAAGAAGCTTTTGAGCGCCAGAGACGGCGTGAACAGGAGATACGCGAAGCGCGCCAAAGATACAGAATTGAACAGACACGAAAGGAAGTGACCAGTACCCAGCGTGTTAGCTCCCGGTCTGAAGAAGATAGCCTGGAAAGAGATGAACAAGAAAGGCGGGGGCGAGAAAGGGAAAAGCAAGAAAGAAATGAAGAAGCCAAAAAAGAAAAGCTCCGGTACGAAATGGAAAGAGAACGACAAATGAGGCTCCAGCAAGAGAAAATCCTACAAGCAAAGCTTCAGCGAGAACGACAAGAACGAGACAGGGTTCAGCGTGAAAGGACTAGAACGACTGATAAAACTCGTGACGAAACACGGAGAGAGACACGTGTCAGCAATAAACACGACAGAACTGATCATGCAGGCATGGAAATGATACCAAACGTAAATCCATATAATTCGCAACCCTGTTTAAAATGTAGCTTCGCTGGTGAAACGCACCCAGGGAACACAGAATTCGAATATAAACGTGGGTGTTACACTTATCAATGTACATGCGATTGTAATGGAAGATGGAAATGTGACAGAAATAATGTTATCTATACATGTGATAAATCTCGTACTGAAGATAACGTGAGAAGAACAACCAATAGTAGAACAATAGCTAATCAACATTCATCGCCAACGTATGTTGTTAAAACAGAAAGAAAACCCCAGACAGTACACAGAAATGTACAGAGATCTCGAGAAGCTGGCTCGGCGTATTCGTCAACATCTTCAGCATCAGCATCGTTTTCTTCCCAGAGTTCAATTAACACCCCTACTCGAAAATATTCTCCACCACAAAGAAGACAATATCAGACGCCTGAAGTATCCAGGCACAAAATTGAGACTCATACCAGAGAAAATAAACCGTCAGTTTCCCGTGAAACTGGATCTCAAGGTATGGAAACGACAAATACCAAATATCAGGTTTCCCAAGAATCAGGAGATCGATATCAATCCGCAACAAATACAAATTATCCTTTCTTTCCTCGGGAAACATCACATAATGTACAATCAACAAGACGAGTTATCTACCCATCATCTCAAACAGGATATCAGCAAGTTCATAGTTCGGGTTTTTACAAAAATCCCTTCTTATCACCCAGGGTTAATAGCCATCAATCTCCTCGAACTAATTATCATACAGTACCACTGCCTTCAGGTAATAACTACCCTTCCCCTCAAGGAGTAGGATATACTGTACAAACATCAACCAGGTATATCTTTCCTGCTGCACACAGGGTTGGAACACATTCTGCCAGTACTTCCTCCAACTTTCCTATTCGACAAACACATCCGTTACCAGTTGGGGGATCCGTGTACCCTACAGCCCCAGTCGGTTCAGTAAATGCAGATTCGTGTCAGGTGTGCCTAGCAGACGACAAAAATTACAATGTTAACGACTTGTTCGATATGAACCGTGATTGTGTTATTTATAAATGTAGATGTTTGTGTAATGGGAATTACAGATGTGCTATAACACCTAACCCAACTTGTAATGAGCGTTCAGTTGAGACACAGTGTGGAAATTGTCACATCCATGGACTTATTTACCCGGGTAATATGGGATTTCAACAGAAAAGGGGATGTTATGAGTATACTTGTCAGTGTAAATGTGATGGAACCTATGAATGCCCCGATGAGAAGAAGGTTAACCTATGTCCATCAAATGATCCTGCTTTAACCGATCCCTATAATGCTCAACGTGACTGTGGCACATGTACCATTGAAGGTAATTTCTACACTGGGAATTCTCAATTTAAAATATATGAAAAATGTCTGGTGTATTCCTGTGATTGTAATTGTTTAGGTATATGGAAATGTTCCGCTGAGCACGCACCTGGTTGTTTATCTGCTAACGGTGGTGTTACGGTTGGCTATCCTACGTTCAATACGACAGGCAGCTGTTCTGAATGTCTGGTAAATAAACAACCTCATTCAGCCAATTTGGATTTTAAACTTAAACAAGGATGTTTGGAATATGCATGCAGATGCAATTGTGATGGAACTTGGTACTGCCCAACACAATCTCCAAAACATCTTTGCGATGCCAGTGCGATACAGAGACAAGCCATCAGTTGTCAATCTTGTGATGTTCGTGGAACGATCTATCCTGCCGATGCAACTTTTGTTCTGAGGGAAGGATGTCACCAACATACATGTGTTTGTAATTGTGATGGAACATGGCGATGCCCCAATAACTCCACAATCAACGTATGTGAGTCCAGCACAAGAACTGTAAATGAGAAGTCTAGCTGTAAAGAATGTGCTGTAAATGGAATAACCTACATGAGTAACTCGGATTTTGAATTTCGAGAGGGGTGCTCACAGTACAATTGTAAGTGTTTCTGCAACGGTAGCTGGGAATGTCCTCCTGATAAAACTGAAAACATGTGTCGATCTCCAGACTACAGAATAGATGGCTGCAGGGAGTGTCTGGTAAATAATCAATCATATCCTGGTGGGAGTCCTTTTAACTACAGAGAAGGATGCTGGCGGTTTAATTGTATGTGTAGCTGCGATGGAAAATGGAGTTGTCCACCAGGAAGAAGTGTTGATATATGTGAAAAAGTTGCATCCGTGTCATCAAGATGTCGACCTTGTGTTATTGAATCTAAGGTCATTAAATCCAAGAGCACATTCAATCTTCGCCAAGGCTGTACAGAGTATTTATGTGATTGTGAATGTAATGGGAACTGGACCTGTCCTGTGGATAGATCAATCAATACTTGTGAACTTGGCGGTATAAAAGATAGTCCTGACAAAACAGCGGACAAACAGACGCCTAGAGGTACGTACACATGTTACCTATAAATTTATATAGTGCCCAATTACTGTAGGTTTATCGTAACCTTGTACTTTGTGTTGTGAGCATGCAAATTGCTGTTGCGAATCGACTTTTACGTTTGTACTTTTTTCAGGATGTGAGGTTGGTAATAAAACATATTTCACTCGTCTATTTGGTTATACAGAACAATGTATACAGTATACATGTATCTGTTACGATAATGGTGCTTGGAGATGTCCACCAAACAGAAGTAGAAAGGTTTGCTAACATTTAACTGTACAGTTGAAATTATCAAAGTTTGGTTTTCTGACATTCTTGTGGTTTGTCGAATTCCCGGGACGGTTAAACATGAAACATAATTATATAATTATTGAACATGACAAATTCCATTAAATTGGACAATCATATTAGTATGAAATAGTTGTTTGTCCATACTACTCTCATACACGTTCACATTGTTTGCTCGGCACCAATCTGATTAAAATACAGATCTATATTTCGTTTCGTTTTTTTTATACTTTCGATGGCCTAGACTACATGAAGATCTGACAAGATATAGCGATAGGTCACGTCAGGGGTCAAAAGACCGACTTATGACCCTATGACGTCAGACATTTGATTAACCAATCAGCATTGATGTTACTAGTGGATTACCCACATTTCCGTGAAAAACACGCCTAAAGCTCGCCGTAACAGACCGTTTCATTGGCTTATCCCTGACACCATTCAGAACACGAGTTAAATAACAACTATTCCAGATCCAAGTGTAGTAAAGACAAGTAAAACGAAATTTTGAACTATAAGAACGAAACGAAATAGGATCTGAGTTTTAACTAGATGGGCTCGGCACATTTAACAAAATCAAATATTTTACAACTGAGAGCTAATCTAAAATGAATATTCAAGTGTTTTTATATTATAAAGGTGTACAATTACATTCTATTCATAATTTGGCTTTAAAAACTATTTAGATACCATACAGTCTAACACATTGATTTATTAAATGTTCGACTGTTATACATTTGTTTTCAGGAAACGTTCAAAATTGTGAAATTTATAACAGTTTTCTTTGTATTTTTATCTTCGATCATCATTGTACAAATCATATAAATGTTTATTGATGAATACAAAAATTTTGTACCAAAGGCTTACAGTTCATCTTTGTTATTCTTGTTGATTTGTATGAGGATTTTACCGTTGTTTGTGTTAGATTCCATCATGGCGTGAGCTTTCGATAACTTATCTAACGGAAAGATAGTGTCAATAACAACTTGAAGATAACCTGATTCAAAGTGTGGCATGGCAACTCGGGTGAAATTACTGATCAACTCTCGTTTATACTGTAAATAAAAGAACATTATTCAACATATTTGAAACTATGATATATTGGTGGTTCAGTCATACCATAAACATCTTTTTTGCTCTTATTTTCCATATCAAGCGATAAACCATTATAAGCCCCCAGATAATTCACACCACCAGGGCCGTAACTAGCTCAGAGCAACGAGGGGAGCGGGGAGTGTTCTCGGAAGTGCTGTAAAATTGACGGACAATGTATATCTATGGTCGACAATTTTTTCACAGGGGGGGGGGGGGGGGTGTGTGCACACCACTTCTTATTTGTAGGATTGTTTTCGACTAGAGTTCTCTAGTCTTTAGAGAAGGTATAACCATTGGCTTGTTCTATTAGGGAATTGCTATTTTTGACATTGGATACTATTTTTGCTCTGGTATACTGGCCCTTTAAGTTATGAAGCTGACATTTGTTTGATCCATACCCACGAGTATAGTGTTCATTTAGTTAAAACATCTTAATATTCTATTGAATGGTAACTGAGCAATGTAGTGCTAAAAGTCGGCAATTATTTTGGACATCCGATGTATACAGTGGTGCATGGGCGTCACACAATCCGACCCCCACCCCCCAATTGTTTTTCGGGGGGGGGGGGCTGAATATACTTGGACCCCCAAAAAATTTACATAGTAGGCCCAAACTCCTATTTATTTACAACAATTATTTGGATTAGTTAAGATTCTATATCTGTATAAAACCTGTACATATCCCAATATGGTTTACTTTGCTAAAATAAAACACACAGAGAATCATCCTGGAAACAAGTGTGAAGTGAAAAGTAACTATGTTCCATAAAATTGTGTCTAGTTAGCCTGTCACTAATATTTTTTTCTGCCACTTATCGTAGTGAATCGCATGTAGGTACGCAAAAACATTATCGCCTAAACCAAATATTTATCGCCCGCTCAGCCAGCCACGTAAACATAATGCTTTGCACGCGTTGTCTGGGAAAATCAGCAAACGAGTTGTGTAGACAGCGTGGCCACATGGTGTTTGTTTATATTTTTTAGGGGTTTAAAAAAAGGTTAGGGTTGCGGACCCCCCCCCCCCCACAATATATATTTCACGTCTACGCCTCTGCAGTGGTGAAAGGATATGCCAATAGCAGATAAGCGATAAAAGATGAATTGTGAATAGTCGATACTGTACTCGGGGCGAGATATCCACAAATGTGTTATTTCCCTTTGCGCCCCTTTGTATGACGGATTATGTCGCCCCTTTGCGGAAGTCGAGTGGTCACGTGATAAATGAGGGTGGTTGGTCAATTTGCCAAAAGTAAATCAACAAATAAACGGACAAGTTATTAATGGTCTAAACAAGGTAAGTAGAACAATAATAATTCCACTTTTATAGTGTTTCGGGTTAAATTAAAATAATTCAAAAGCGGCCATTTTGTCAGGCAGTTTCATTTCGATTTTCCCGAAATTCGAATTCAACCTTCGTTATGGTGGAATTGTGATATATTTAAACGGTTTTTAAAATCGGAAAATAAAATTGTGCACGCTAAAAATGCGATTTTTCGAACAATCAGGGGCCATGATCCAGGGAGTTACGTTCGTTCGGACATGCGCGATTATCAAAAGGAACCAAGATCTTAGTGTGTAATGGTGATATATTCACATGTTTTTTTTAAATCAGATAAAAATTGTGACCTCTACAGGGACCACAAGCTAAAAACCCGATTTTTCGTACAATCAGGGGCCATAATTCAGGAAGTTACGATCTGATATGCGCGAATATCAACAGGAACCAAGATCGTTGGGTTATAAACTTACATTTCAAGTTTCAAGAAAATCGGATAAAAATTGTGACCTCTATAGGCTCCACAAGCTAAAAACGCGATTTTTCGTACAATCAGGGGTCATAATCCACGAAGTTACGGTCCGATACATGCCAATATCGAAAGGAACTGAGATCTTAGGTAGATAAACCTATATATCAAGTTTCGTTGAAATCGGATAAAAATTGTGACCTGTAGAGTGTCCACAAACAAATTGTGGACGGACAAACAGGGGCGACGACATAATACGTCCACATGAAAATGTTGGCGTATAAAAAGTACTTTGCAAATAACGATTTATGGGGCGAAAGAATATTTGAATGCGCGATTCGTTTTTTAAATTTAGTGGTCTACTTTTTTTTAAATGAAGGGGGCGTATATAACTGTCTTGTGCATGATGACATAAGTTGACCTAGTTTCAATTTGATGGATGATTTCTTTTTAAAGAAACGAATGTATATTTGATAATAAAAAAAACATGTTTCAACATGATAGGTTGATTGTATATATTTTTAGTTAATGTATTGCGTAGAATGTCATGGTTTTAAAACAGAGAGTATAAATAGCATGATGCGTTTTACAATTTAGCACTGCTTTATTGCATGGATCTAGTAAATTCCTGTACGCACCTAGAATCTTTACCAGGTTAAACGTGTCCAATGCGTGATTGCTATACTTTCAGTGTAACCATAACCCAACCACGCCCTCAAAGGGAATAACTCAATTCAGTGGTACTAAGGGCCGATAGATGTTCCCAAAATTTGTCATGGTCACGATATTACTACTGTTGAGCCTAATTGCACATTTCGTGTATTCAAAGATTTCGATCAGAGCGGATAGGGAAGACAATGTAATCGTCAGATGTACCAAGAGCAGAGCGGTTAGGGAAGACAATGTAACAGTCAGATGTACCTAGCGATTATTCCGAGCATACCCATTTCGAAAATCTTTCTTAAATTAACAATTACATCTATGGACGGTCTATTTTTTAGTAATACTTAAAATCTTCTCACACCCCAAAAAACAAACATTGATCAGACAGGTTGGGAAAATTTTTCATCATTACGGGGTACCTCGGCCTTCTTGTGTCGGCGCCTGTATCAACACTTAAAGGAACTAAATCGCTAATATTTGGCACCTAGAAATTGACACAAATGGGTAGCAACGCATATAATAATGTAATATGAATGTATATAAACTGATTTACATTCAATCGTTTCCGTTTTTACTCTAATTTCAAATCAGTTATGTTCAGCGAAATACGCCAGGGGTCTCAATCGAATGGCAATTTCTAGCGTCTGGTTATTCAAGTCTACACGAATAGTATTTATTACCCATGCTCTTCAGATAAGAACATGAGGTCACCGTTTGACATGACTTGTGGAATGTCTGTAACCTCGTTCTTCGAGTTATTTGTTACAAATGGCGCTGAAACGCATTATGGTATATTATTCGTGTACCAATGGTAAAATGTTTATTTGGTCTTAAATATTGGATATCAGAGGCCCTTCTTTTTCCAGGTAAGATTACAACATCATGTTGATTTAAATTAACAAATAATTCGTGTTTTTAATGTGGAAGACTTTGGATGACATTGGTTAGAGACTTCGCTACTTTAAAGCTCATAGTAGAAGAATCTCATGTTGACGTTTTTGAGCCAAGTAATAATTTGCAACACAGTCAATTTTGTTTATAGAATTTCAGACGGGAATAACTGATATGGCGATCTTACCTCTATAGACCTTGTACGTAAAGTAGTACCTGTAATAGATATTCTTTTTCGTAAAAGTTTACTTAACATGTCACCATTTATACTCCCTCCTCCTGCAAGCAACCATGATGAATCACTATACTTGATATAATTATGAGAACATCTTCTGATTTGTATTCGTATGATATAAAACCAACAACAAAGCTGTTTCTTTATTCAAATCATGTAGCGTTTTTTCTACATATAGAAAACAACTAAAAGAGATTGGAATTGATCATAAAAGCCCGGTATTGTTCCTTTTTACTTAAATGGACTGTCAAAATGCAATATTTTTGTGGAATCTTGTGACATTTTCAATGCACAATGTCTATTATTTACACCATAAATTAGTTTTAAAAAGATTAAAAAATGGCTGATTTAGTCTAAGTTGTTACTATATTCAACATCTATTCGGTAGAACAGGCATACCTTACAGTAAACTTGATATGACTAAATCTTGATTATCAAAGTTGAACGCTTGCGCTTCAGATCACTGAGTCGATTGGTCTGGGTTTGATCATAAGTTTGCACGTGAAAAGTTGTAGGGTTATTGAGATAAAAATGTACCACGTGTAAGTCCCGAAATGACCCCCAACTGCTAAATACCCCAAAGTAAATTATTGAAAAATATATTAGTCTCGAAATAACCTAGTTTTTGTTAAGTGGACGTTAAAGCCTATTTCTGTCTACCTCTCTTTTAGAGTGTAGGCATGGTAGAACGGGTTTCCAAAGCTCATTTAGATAAAGAAGGTAACTTTGTATTAAAACTTACCCATCAAACCATAAAGAACCCATCTTCCTTCCATGGCAATAACTTCTATATTCTGTTCATAAAAGCTTCCTCCAACACAATCTAAAATAATATCTACACCTTTACCTGGAAAAACACAATCTATTATTATACCCGATCCTTTACCTTTTAAAAAACAGAATCTAAAATATAAAATAATACCGAATCCTTTACCTTATAAAAAACAGAATCTAAAATAATACTGATAAAAAAACAATCTAAAATAATACCCGATCTTTTACCTGATAAATAAAACAGAATCTAATATAATATACGATACTTTACCGGATAAAAAACAATCTAATATAATACACGATTCTTTACCTATTAAAAAACACAATCTAAAATAATACCCGATCCTTTACCTGGTCGAGAAAAAAACCCAACGAAGTGAAGCTCAACATAATAGGAACCTTACTTTTAACAAGGGTAAGACTGGTTCCGCATATGTTATAATTTCCATATCGATTTTGCATAAAAATAGTTTCCGTAAATTCTAAACTTAAAATAGCTTAGGTATAATCCTATTAATTGGGATCTAAAGACTAACGCTACTTGCCGGAAGTTGCTGCCAGAACGCCATCACTAAAATTTTCTGACTTGTAATTAAATCCTGCTACGGCTCCTAGACTTTTTGCTTTCTCCAGTTTTTGTTGAGAGCCAGCAGTAACTATAGGAATGCCGTCTGCCAGCTTAACAAGCTGTATTAAAGCTGTACCCACTCCACTTCCTCCACCATGAATTAAAACACGTTCTCCTTTTGTAACTTTTCCTATAACAATGAAATAAGGATTGATAGTGTTTCACAACGGCGTGAAGAACTTTATTTTCGTACTGTGGACTAGTGCAAAGATTTTTAGCAATAATGTTTGCTGCATTCAAAGTCTATCGTCTGTTTAGATTAACACACATTGCTTGTATCTGTGTTTTGTGGACAGCCCGTTTAGTGGCATTTCATTTTGTCATATCACAATTGGGCAAAGATTTTGTAAATTGTTGATTTGCGAAATGTTTTGGAAATGAAAAGTGGTTCTTATTTTACACCATGCGGTTTACTATGAAGGAAATTTTGACGTGCGTGGGCGTTTTTATTCGTAGAATTCCACCTGCCTGCGGTCTTTTACGTGCAAATCAACTTGTAGGCGGGACCTTAGTTTTTCGTACCATCCGAACGACCAGACGCTATTTCTTTCCAGGCCACCAGTCCTGTATCACTGACAAGGAGAAACCACTCTGAAAATTGACAGGACTTCCTGGTTAGTGAGTCAGTACCTTACTCATTTGGCCACCGCGGCTCCCCACAAAATAGAAGAAATATCAGGGGGTCTAGAAAAAGTAAGCCCCGTGAAAGATTTCCGTCCCGACGTGTAGCTAATTGGATCAATGATTTTGGACTTTGATTTCATAACCGAAGTCTGCTGGGTTGAAAATAATTTCAGAATTTGAACTGCTCAAACCATGGACCGTGGATAGATGGACAAGCAACGTCCACGAAGCCTTCAGAATTCTGTGCCGCGGCAAAAAAAATAGACCGGACAATCGTGACTAAAATAAAATTACCTCCCCTCGCGCAATTATCAGTATTAAGTTTAAAAGCAAAGAAACAGAAATCAATTCATAATATTGTTATTAATCTTGCTACTCTTGGTTTTTTTGCAACCCATACATAGATAGATTACTAACTGATGATTGGGGTGTAAATTTATCAACACATCGTCTTTGTTTACTTCGGACGCGCCCATGTGAATCAACAAAAAAAAACATGTCGAGTTTTCGTTAAAAACAAACCTACTAAAATATGGAAGGGTATCGCTGCCAATATTAAATGCTCTGCTAAAATGTCTGTTCCATTGATTATATGTAAAAAGTACAATGTCCATGCTCAAACAAAACATTTATTAGTTCATGCTTACCAATGGTGTGTAACAACTGGAATGCAGTTAACCAAACTTCAGGAATAGCTGCTGCTGTGGTAAAATTCATTGAATCTGGTATTTTCATCAAAAGATCTTCATGTGCTGTCACATATTCAGCATTTCCTCCACCTAAACGTAAATGATGGCATGTCAAACGCTGAGTGGTAAAATATAAATGTTTTATAAATCAAATCAATAATAAACTATGTTTTAAATATAACCTTAATGCAGACTGAAAACTATTTTGAACTGGACAACTCAGTGTGCAGTGTTTACGAGTTTTAAAACTTTATCCTACACGTTTCAATTATTTCAGTCATCAACAGGTAATAAGCAATGTTTGCTGGACATTACCTGGAAGCAACGCCATTACGGGGTCACCAACATTCCATCTAGTACAACCAGTACCAAGCTGTTGTACAATACCAACAGCTTCGAGTCCTAATATATCACTTGCTCCTGGTGGCGGTGGATATAAACCTTTTCTCTATATAATAAACACGGCATTAATATTCATGCCAAACATATTAGATATTTCTACACGTAATCATTATCTCATTATTTCTACCAAATTATCAATCTTTATTAATTTAGGAAAGATTAAAAGTGAAGAATAACTTTTAACGCAATATTTTGACTATTATTAAAAAGCAGAGTCTGTTTTCCAGGAATCTACCTACTTGTAAAGTATCAGCTCTGTTGATAGCACTAGAAACTACTTTGATAAGTACTTCTTTTTCAACTGGTGTAGGCACTGGTACTTCTCCAATATATAAACCATCGGGTCCACCAGCTTTGAACTGTGCAGCTTTCATCATCATCTGCAATATATTTACTAAACATAGTGATCTGAACCGTCAGTCTGTGAATAGCTTCCTGAAGAAATATTCAAATGCATCGACAAAAAGAACTCTGACCCTGTTGACAAGATTTCATTGAGACAGAAATAATAAACAGGGCAAAAAAGATGATCGGCGATAAAAGTCGGGATCGCGATTCAAATTTCAGATGGTTGTACCAATATAGCCATGTCGGCAAGAAGCACATTTTTCGGAAATATAAATCACCTTCAAAACAAGTTGTGCTGAAATTGGTTGCGAATTCCTAGTATTTTCCACTACTTTAGTACCGGCGTGACAGTGTGAGATGGTTCCTGGTGTAATTATTACCGTTTAGCGCATGCGCAGTTGTAGGAGTCAGCTCACACCACCATTGTGGATACGGTGTGTATTGACTACGAATATTAGTCTGGATGCGTTGTCAACATTTGAGAATAATCGGTCATTGACTAGATTATCCGGTCTTTTACACAATATTATAAACAAAGTTTAAGGGAGGTAACTAGTCCTAAAACAACATGTTGACACCCATGAAATTAATGGATCAATTTGAATGAAATTTTCAGCAAATTGCCTTTACGTTATCTGGTTTATAACTATTATAGTGAGAACTGCCAACTCGTTATCGAATCAACCATATGGTATCTTTAATGCTTTTAATCCGTTTTTAACCCATCAAAGAGTGCCGCAGTCGACTTTCCAAATTCTGTTGAGTCGGCGATATAGGAAGACCCCATTTCAGCCGCTGTCTGTCAGATTTCACACTAAAGTCACGTGAGCTGAACCCCCTAAGAGCCATAAAACAGATAAGCTGTATTGTGAAGTTGTAAAAATTTTAATAAGAGGTTCAAAATTAAAATACCAATGATACAGAGAAATCCCAATCATATAAAGGTCAATATTCAATCTGCAAAATAGTTAATAATTAAACCATAGATAATTAAAACATCACAAAGTTTAACGTAATCACTAAAAAAAAAACGCCCCCCCCCCCCCCAAAAAAAAAAACGCCAACAAATCACGAATGATAAAAGTATCAATTTTAAGCAAATCAACTTAGATCCGTTGATCGTGTAACTATTGCTCACTAAAATAACAGCTAATCACGATAACAAGTATGTTTATTAATGACAAAACTCAAACCAAATACGTAATACTTTTTCCTGAATTGATCAGTGATCAGGAACTAGGACTCCTTGATCAGGAACCATCTCACAACACCGTTAACGCTAACAACAGTTTCGGACATGCGCAAGTGCCCAGGAGCAAACACAAACCGGGAGTCAATTCAAACTGCCACACCGGCCCTGCTAATTACCGACAGGGGCGCGCTTTTGGTCAATAGTGCCCAAAGTATTACTAAAAGTGAGCTACCAGGACAGATCTTTATAGCTATGCATATTCTAAACACCATATCCAAAATTTAAATGATTTCATAACAAAATCACCGGCTGCCAGGCAGGATACGCTGACATTTTGCAAGAGATGGATAGAGAACAAGCTAAAAAAAAAAACGGGATTTTTTGTATAATCAGGGGCAAAAATCCAGAAAGTTATGGTCTGAAATGCGCAAATATCAAAAGGGACTGAGATCTTTGGGATATAAAGATATGTTTTAAGTTTCATCAGAATCTTATAAAAATTGTGACCTCTGGAGGGTCCACAACCTTCGTATTGCATACTTTTACAAAATTTGCATACAACGAGCGGCCATTTTGTCGGACAGTTTCATTTCGATTTTCCTGAAATTTGAATTCAAACTTCATTATGGTGGAATGGTGAAATATTTATGCGATTTTTCGAACAATCAGGAGCCATAATCCAGGAAGTTACGTACGGATATACGCGATTATCAAATGGTGAAATATTCACATGTTTTTTTTTAAATCGGATAAAAATTGTGACCTCTACATGGACGGCAAGCTAAAAACGTGATTTTTTGTACATTCAAGGGCCATAATTCAGGAAGTTACGATCCAATACGCGCGAATATCGAAAGGAACCAAGATCTTTCGGTTATAAACATGTATTTCAACTCTCATCAAAATCGGATAAAAATTCTGGCCTCTAGAGGGTCCACAAGCTTGATATACCAGATGCTATACACTATTTGCGTACGAGGGGCGGCCATTTTGTCCGGCAGTTTTGGCCCGATTTTCACAAAATTCGAACTCAATAAACATTACGGTGTAACAGTGATATATTCGAACTTTTTTTTTTTCAATCGGATAATAATTGTGACCTCTAGAGAGACCACAAGCTAAAAACATGATACAATCAGGGGCCATAATTCAGGATGTTACTATCCGATATGCCCGAATATCGAAAGGAACCAAGATCTTTTGGTAATAAACATGTATTTCAAGTTTCATCAAAATCAGATCAAAATTGTGACCTCTAGAGGGTCCACAACTTTGATATACCAGGTGTTTACACTAACTGTGTATGGGGGGGCGGCCATTTTGTCTGTCAGTTTTGGTACGATATTGATATACCATAGTTTTTACACTGAGTACGAGGGGCGGTCATTTTGTCTGTCAGTTTTGGTCCGATATTTACGAAATTCGAACTCAACCATCCTTAGGGTGTAACGGTGATATATTCAAACGATTTTTTTTAAATCGGATAAAAATTATGACCGCTATAGGGTCCACAAGCTAAAAACGCGATTTTTCGTACAATCAGGGGTCATAATTCAGGAAGTTACGGTCCGATATGCGCAAATATCGAAAGGAACCGAGATCTTTGGGTTATAAACATACATTTCAAGTTTCATCGGACTGGGGAGTAGCATAGGCCAGGTGGCGTTAGTCTACCACTTTCGGTTTCGGAGTTATGACCCCCGAGCGAAGCCGGTGTGTTCGGGGTTGGCGGCTACACTAGGTCTGGCCCGAGTCTGAAATTTGGGGTATAGGGGTAGCTCGGACCGGGGAATAACATAGGCCAGGTGGCGTTAGTCTACCACTTCCGGTTTCGGAGTTATGACCCCCGAGCGAAGTCTGTCTGTTCGGGGTTGGCGGCTACACTAGGTCTGCCCCGAGTCTGAAATTTGGGGTATAGGGGTAGCTCGGACCGGGGAGTAACATAGGCCAGGTGGCGTTAGTCTACCACTTCCGGTTTCGGAGTTATGACCCCCGAGCGAAGCCGGGTATCCTGCTTGTATACCATATTTTTACGCTATTTGAGAACGAGGGCGGCCATTATGTCTGTTAGTTTTGGGCCAATTTTCACGAAATTCGAATTCAACCATCATTAGGGTGTAACGGTGATATATTAAAACGTTTTTTTTTAAATTGGATAAAAATTATGACCTCTATAGGGTCCACAAGCTAAAAACGCGATTTTTCGTACAACCAGGGTCCATAATTCAGGACGTTACGGTCCGATATGTGCGAATATCGAGATCTTTGGGTTATAAACTTACATTTCAAGTTTCAATAAAATCGGATAAAAATTGTGACCTTTATAGGGTCCACGAGCTAAAAACGTGAGTTTTCGTACAATCAGGGGCCATAATCCATCTAGTTACGGTCCGATACATGCCAATATCGAAAGGAACCGAGATTTTAGGGAGAAAAACCTATATTTCAAGTTTCGTTGAAATCGGATAAAAATTGTGACCTGTACAGTGTCCACAAACAATTGTGGGCGGACGGACAGACGGACAGGGGCAACAGCAATATACGTCCACATGAAAATGTGGGCGTATAAAAATAATTATGTCAAATTATCCCATTGCTCAAAATTAATTCAAGATGGTTGCATACATTTGATAGTGTAAGCACTTACAGTAACAGCAATGAGGCAATTATTGTTGAAAACGAATGTGACTTTGACCTTGCATCTCTTGTTAATGAACCCTGGTCAGAAGACCACGTTTCCGATCCGGGAGAGGACACTATACAAGTCCTTTTAACTCTTTACGGCTCTTGAAATGTTATACACTATGGTGGCTGATTGGTATCATGTCGTGATGTTGCGGTGTCGCCTTTTATAAGGCGGCAACCCTACATCACGACATTTGAACCCGACAACCCGACATCTTGACATCACGACATTTTCACCCGACAATACGACATTTTCACCCGACACCACGACATTAAAAATGTAATGTCGCGTAAAAATGTCGTATTGAGGGAAACTTTTCCCGGTTAGCGGTGCTACGGCCTACTCTTACATTGAATTCCAAACGTGCTAGCTAATAAGTACACGGAACCTCGATTTTTTGTCCCATCCGAAAGACTATACCGGCAAAGTTTTCCTCATAGTAACTGTATACCGTATGTCCGTCTTCACTAGCCCAGTCCGAGCACAACGAAATGAAATGAAATTGAGTTTAACGTCCTAATGAAGACGGGCTTACGCCATACATTGCGTTATGAGGGACATTCGCCGAAACAGCGGCGCTACGGCCTACTCTTATATCGAATTCTAGCTGTAAAGGGATCTTTTACGTGCACGCCAATGTATACACGGGGCCTCGGTTTTTCGTCCTATCGGAACGACTAGAGAGCTGTCCTTGTCAGGCCCTCCTTCCTGCACCTCTGGCAAGGGGAAACCACGCCGGAAAATCTCAATGAACCTTCTCGGCCAACACCGGGAGCGAACCCGCGACTTCCAGGCTAACGAGCCAGGGTCTTACTCACTTAGCCACTGTGGCTCCTGGAGCAGAACAGCTGGACGTTAAAACCCATTTCATTTCATTTTCCTATTTTTCTGCACATACGCTATGAAGAGTGATATGCCCGAAATTTCCAATGGACCGTGGCATTTCTTCATCGAATTTCAACTGAGAAGGATTCTTTTATGTGCACGCCAATGTGTACACAGTAGCTTGTTTTTTTTATGTCCCATCTACAATACTAGACACTGTTTTTGCCAGGCCCCTTGTTCTGCACTACCGACATGGAGAAACCGCTCTGCAAAATCCCGGGGAACTTTCTTGACCAACACCAGGATCAAAGTACATAATCATAGTATTGAGAGGAAAATGGCCGATAACACGAGATCACGACATTTTAACCCGACAATACGACATTTTACGGACCGCTGCGCTACGCCCTACTCTTATACGGAATTCCAACTGTCAAAGGTTCCTTACGTGCACGATAATGTGTACACGGTTCATTCCGACCGACTGGACAACTGTCCCTGCCATGTCCCCCGCCCAGCACCAGTGACATAGGGAAACCGCGCGTGAAAATCCCGACGAACATTCCCGGCCAACGAGTCGGCCGGCGTCTTGCTCACTGATCCACTGCGACAAAGAGAATGGCAGGCGTTCATAAGACGAATGACAAAGCAATATTAGCGGTAGAGGAAAGATAGGGTTGAGTGAAAGTCAGGTCTTTGCCATTGGTCTGATGAGCTTCATAATTCTTTTCCATATCCAGTGAACGTTTTGTCCTTCATCGTGTGAACCTCTTGTCTATTTGTTATTCGTCTAATCACCCTCTGCCATTCTCTTTGACATATGTTCAGGTAACCTCACAGAGGCTGATTCAAGGGGGGGGGGGGCGCCCCCCCCCCCCTAATTTTTGACAGTGCCTTTTTTTACTGCTGAAAGTGCCTTTTCTCAGACCCAAATATGTCCGTTCCCAACCCGTTGCAGGGATCCCAAATGACTCAAACCATCGATTCAAACACATCAGTCTGGTCTAATTAATGCTTCCACTTTGAAACGAATTCTTGTTGTTTAGCTGACGGTGCCCTAATCCTATAGAGTGACTATAGACAGACATCTTGTGGAATCGGCGGCGTATACACTCATGTCCATCACCGACGCGCGTGAGTGCAACTTGATGTAGCATTGTTTCACGTGTGGACAGTACAAAGTACAAGTTACAAGGCTTAAATAGTGAAGTGGCTAGGGAATAGATTCGTCTTTTTCCCCATCATAATGCCTCGCTCGCCCTTGACAATTTTCGAGCCGCATGTTCAACTGGCTTTTTTGCTCGATTTTAAGGCTCTTTTTCAACGATTTCCGAACGTTTACTTAGACGAAAATATCAGCTAAACAGCTCTTGGAATGACTACAGATGCAAGGAAATGACGGATAATTTTCTTGGGGCCCCCCCCCCCCCACAAAAAAATCCCCTCTCAGCAGCGTGCCCCGTCTCCGCGGTCAGTGCCCTCATTTTGCGGCGCCCCCCCCCCCTTTTCGAAATTCCTAGATCCGCCCGGCCTGAGTCCTCTGTTATTTTATTGTCAATCATCCACTGAATCTGGTATTCTTATAATTAACATTCGTGATCGGGTCTGTCATGTTATTCGATTTGCTATTCTTCAGACTGGCCTTATGATCTAAAGCGAATACGTTAGGCCATTCTACCCCTACCCGCACCCTAGGCACAGGGGAGAATGTACTTGAAGAAATGGAATACGCATAACATTAATTGAAGCCGGGTAATTAAAAAATACAAGTCTTGGCGATTGTTGTAATACCATGGGGCAATGACTGAGTGTCATATTATAAGTATAAATTCATGCCTAAGTAGTCACAGGATAAGTTTAAAGGGCCCCCGATAGTAAACATTAGTGTATAAGTAAAGTTTTTTTATTTGTATCCAAAGGACCGTTGTTCTGGATATTGAAACAGTTTTTTTCACCTTTTCAGGTGATGTCAAGATAGTGTTAAGTATGCCCAGCGTAACAATTACGCTTTACGCAAAACAAGCCCCTGGGCCCGCGTATTGTCTTAAATATACACCACCGTGTGTAAAATAAATTTTATAACGACACCAAACAGTAATAAGTAGGTTAATACTCATTAAACAGAGAGTGACGAGAGAGAGGGAGATTTAACGTTAACTGAACGCAAACCAGGTCATTTCAACAATTTGCTTTTCTTGCGCGTAGGTTTTTTTTTTAACAGTGGCAGTGCCGTGAGAGGGAACAACAGGACCTGGAGAAAACCCACGAGCTGAGACAGGCTACCCTGACATACTCACGTACGTACAAGTGTGGGATCGAAACCACGCCACTTAACTCAATGACACGATCGTTCAAGCGTTAAAACTCTGTAAATAAATTTAGTTACAACTTTCCACTTAATAATACCACCATTAACACAAAAATCGACCGTTGTCAGCAGGTGGTTATAAATATAATATGTCAACACGTTTTACGAATGACTTACCATGACACCATTTGTTGTTGTATTAGATACAATAACTGTAACGCAGCATATAATGACAACGTCAGAGCACAAGCATGTCCTACGAATATTGGCAAAACGAACAGCTGCGTATATCGGGCTAAACATTGACTTATCGTTTGTAACTATGTTACCTATCTATTTCGGCGTTATCTGTTAGGGGAAAAAACAAACGATAACAATAATGATGAAGGGCGACAACCTCGCAAATACTGGGTGCAGACCACCAAGATTTTACTATTGCTTTTAGTACTAATTATCATCTCTTTCTCAATGGGGCGTTGGGTGGCTGAATGGTTAGCGTGTGCGCGCTGTATCATAAAGTCTGTCATTGAGTCAACTGGCGTGGTTTCGATTCCCCGATTGTACGTGACAAGGAGTAGGGTCGCCTGTCCAACCTCGTGGATTTTCTCCGGGTCCTTCGGTTTCCTCCCACTGCTAAAGACCCCTACGCGCAAGCGAATTATTGAAATAAAATTAAACCATACGTTAGTCCCGAAAATGACCTAGTTTGTGTCGAGTGGACGTTAAACCCCATTTCTCTCTCTCTCTCTCTCTCTCTCAAATGTTTGTTGGGTGGAAAGTTTTCTACCACAGTAAGCAACATCTGACATGAAAAGGTTTTGTCTACAAAAAATACCAAAGTAACTTTCTCGGCCAACAGCGGGATTGAAAGCGAGATCACCGCACCTCTATGGCGGCATATTAGATTCAAAATTCTAAATTTGTTATCGTCTAATTTCTAGCTTCTATTCATGTAATTTATAAATTAAGACGATGTATAATTCAATTTCTTTATTTGTCCAGCGTAAATTTTAATTCTATTTCATCTTATTTCTATTATTAAGACGACGAATATCTTCTTCATTGACGCTGTACATGTTTAGAATGGCGCACACTATGCGACAACTTAAGCGACGTGTTTGGCGACAAATATCGCCGCGTTATAAGTGGAGTGGGCACACTAACGGCGACTTTGGCGGTCACCGAAAAAAAACCCCTGTCACGTGCTTCATGTGATAATCAGGCGGCGGCTTAGCCGTATTAGTACAACGCCGGTAGAGCGCAGTGCGTTAATAGTATTCTAAGTAATTGGACGACTTTTGTATGCATAGACCAGCGGCTGCCAGGCAGGATACGCCCAAATTTTGCAAGAGATGGATAGAGAACAAGCTAAAAACAAACGGGATTTTTTGTATAATCAGGGACAATAATCCAGAAAGTTATGGTCTGAAATGCGCAAATATCAAAAGGGACTGATATCTTTGGGATATAAAGATATGATTTAAGTTTCATCAGAATAGGACAAAAATTGTGACCTCTAGAGAGTCGACAACCTTCGTATTGCATACTTTTACACAATTTGCATACAAAGAGCGGCCATTTTGTTGGGCAGTTTCATTTCGATTTTCCCGAAATTCGAATTCAACCTTCATTATGGTGGAATGGTGAAATATTTAAACGGTTTTTAAAATCGGAAAAAAAATTATGACCTCTAGAGAATCCGCAAGCTAAAAATGCGATTTTTCGAACAAGCAGGGGCCATAATCCAGGATGTTAAGTTCGGGTATCCGCGATAATCAAAAGGATCCATGATCTTAGTGTGTAATGGTAATATATACACACATTTTTTTTTAAATCAGATAAAAATTATGACCCCTACAAGGACCAAAAGCTAAAAACGCGATTTTTCGTACAATCAAGGGCCATAATTCAGGAAGTTACTATACGATATGCAGAATATCGTAAGGAACCAAGATCTTTGGGTTATTAACTTACATTTCAAGTTTCATCAAAATCAAAAGAAAATTGTGACCTCTAGAGGGTCCACAACATTGATATACCATAGTTTTTACGCTATTTGAGAAAGAAGGGCGGCCATTTTGTCTGTCAGTTTTGGGTCGATTTTCACGAAATTCGAACTCAGCTGTCCTTAGGGTATAACGGTGATATACTAAAACGATTTTTTAAATCGGATACAAATTATGACCTCACTAGGGCCCACAAGCTAAAAACGCGATTTTTCGTACAATCAGGGGCCATAATTCAGGAAGTTACGGTCCGATATGCACGAATATCGAAAGGAACCGAGATCTTTGGGTTATAAACTTACATTTCAAGTTTCAACAAAATCGGATAAAAATTGTGACCTCTATAGGGTCCACAACATTGATATACCATATTTTTACGCTATTTGAGAACGAGCTGCGGCCATTTTGTCTGTCAGTGTTGGGCCGATTTTCACGAAATTCGAACCCAGTCGCCCTTAGGGTGTAACGGTGATAAAATAAAACGTGTAACGGTTATATAATCGAACGTTTTTTAAATCGGATAAAAATTATGACCTCTATAGGGTCCACAAGCTAAAAACGCGAGTTTTCGTACAATCAGGGGCCATAATTCAGGAAGTTACGGCCCGATATGCGCGAATATCAAAAGGAACCGAGATCTGTGAGTTATAAATTTACATTTCAAGTTTCATGAAAATAGAATTAAAATTGTGACCTCTATAGGGTCCACAACCTTGATATACCATATTTTTACGCTATTTGAGAATGAAGGGCGGCCATTTTTTCTGTCAGTTTTGGACCGATTTTCACGAAATTCGAACTCAGGCGCCCTTAGGGTGTAACGGTGATAAAATAGTACGTGTAACGGTTATATAATCGAACGTTTTTTAAATCGGATAAAAAATTATGACCTCTATAGGGTCCACAAGCTAAAAACGCGAGTTTTCGTACAATCAGGCGTCATAATTCAGGAAGTTACGGTCCGATATGCGCGAATATCGAAAGGAACCGAGATCTGTCAGTTATAAACTTACATTTCAAGTTTCATGAAAATAGAATTAAAATTGTGACCTCTATAGGGTCCACAACCTTGATATACCATATTTTTACGCTATTTGAGAACGAAGGGCGGCCATTTTTTCTGTCAGTTTTGGACCGATTTTCACGAAATTCGAACTCAGGCGCCTTTAGGGTGTAACGGTGATATAATATTACGGTTTTTCAAATCGGATAAAAATTATGACCTCTATAGGGTCCACAGGCTAAAAACGCGATTTTTCGTACAATCAGGGGCCATAATTCAGGAAGTTATGGTCCGATATGCGCGAATATCGAAAGGAACCGAGATCTGTGGGTTATTAACTTACATTTTAAGTTTCATCAAAATCAAAAGAGTTCAAGTTTAAAGCAAATCAGATAAAAAGTGTGCCCTCTATAGTGTTCACAAGCTAAAAACGTGATTTTTCGTACAATCAAGGGCCATAATCCATGAAGTTACTGTCCGATACATGCCAATATCGAAAGGAACTGAGATCTTGGGGTGATAAATCTATATTTGAAGTTTCATTGAAATCGGATAAAAATTGTGACCCGTAGCGTGTTCACAAACAATTGTGGACGGACGGACGGACAGGGGCGACGACAATATACGTCCACATGAAAATGTGGACGTATAAAAATAATTGTGCGTTCTATCGGAGACAGAAAAATCGATGCTATGTATGAACAGTCCTACCTTGATAAAGAATAATCCTATTAATCCTATAATTCACTATTGCCAGTTGAGAAATTGGCAAAAATATCATTTTCAACTTCAAATTCAAACGTTTGAAGATAGCTATTCCATTGTATGGAATAGAAAAAACAAGGGAGGTAATTAGGAGGTAATTGTGTTATTATTTCCGGTGTGATACATTTTTGAGTGTGAGAATGATAACTATGATCGTATAATAGTGAGTTGACAACCTATTGAGCAAAAGACATAGAAATAATAATGTTTTGACTTTCTTAGAAAATATGAAATTGTAACTTTAAACACCAATCGTTAACATAAACTGAGGTTTGAATTAGCAAACGTTAAATGTTCAACCGTTCTTCTCGAGGTAGAACAAGGTGGTAGGGACAAAATCACCCGGGGAGAAGGTTTATACGATGATAACCATTTGATGATATACTGTCCAATCTTGAGAGATATTAGACACAATCTCTTACCGCCATGGTTTATTAGATCAACTGTTAGTAATGACATTGTAATATACGTTTATCCTTGTGTATATCTAAAGGTATAGATATATTGCCTTATATAATTATGCTGTTTGTTTATCATAGATCTGGAAGTTTGTTAAAAATCTAAAGACTGTGATGCTTTAACTCCATTAAATAATACAATAGGGTTAAATTATTTAAGAGCACTGCGACCAGTAAATAACTTATTACATATACAGTAGATTTAATATTTTTTAATTTCGTCGGTTAAAAGCCAATCCAAAGGGGATTCCACATTTTGTCTTAATGTTGAATATATTTATTCAAAAAGACACCATTTTTGTACAAAATGCATGATTTAATTTTCAACAGCACATTAAGGACAATAAACATTTAATCAAACACCAAAACTCTGATATCCCATAAAAGTAATTTTTACGGTGATTAATTTATAGTTACCATGTATAACGATTAACGTAAAAGACTGGAAAAGAAAGTGGATTAAGTAAAAACATTATCTTTGATGTGTCTCATGTCGGCACTTCAAAGTTGTACACACCTGTTCTAATGTCCCTAGTTTCGCAAAAGATATATCCGTTGAGGTTATAGAGCTCGGGGCGTATAATCATAACAAGCAAAGTAAAATGCTGTAAGTCCTGTTTGACAGATAGTGATGGTTAACAAAGGTCTCTTGAAATACTAAAGGCAATAACTTTATTATTTCCTATTTTTATGACATTCGTATGGATTATTGTATCTAATAAACTTAAAAAGAATATAAAGAATGCATTTGTGTACCGCATTAAAGGTAGCGTTCTTAGGAGGTGTGTTTGTGGGGGTGGGGGGTGTTACAATGTTAAATTATACTTGTTGAAAACATGCCGTTTATTTGTTCTTTTTAAATATAGCTGATGATAAAAGCCTTTGCCATGGAAAATGCAACATACAATCAACCATATGAAAATACAAAATAAGGAACATAAATTCCATCCTTACCATACATATGACCCTGTTATTTCTTGAGTTTGACCTATTAAAAAAGGACCTGTTCCATCAATATCCGAATTCCATACTAATCGCCTTACTTTTAACAATAATGTAAATTGTGGTACACCAGATGGTGTACTTTAATCTGACAACAACACTAATAACCTTGTCAGTACTCAGCAACAAGA